CAGGCAATTCTCCTGCCTCAGCCTCCTGAGTAGCTGGGATTACAGGCGCACGCCACCATGCCCAGCTAATTTTTTGTATTTTTAGTAGAGACAGGGTTTCACCATGTTGACCAGGATGGTCTCGATCTCTTGACCTCGTGATCCACCCGCCTCTGCCTCCCAAAGTGCTGGGATTACAGGCTTGAGCCACCGCGCCCGGCCAAAATATTTAATTTTGATGAAACTTAATGTATCATTTTCTTACATAGTCTGTGGTTTTTGTTTCCTGTTTAAAATTTTTAGTGACTTTTTTTGGTCTAATCCAATGTCATTTAGATTTTCTCCTCTGTTTTCTTTGAGAAGTTTGGTAGTTTTAACTTTTATAGTTTATTACCTATTTTTAGTTAATTCTTATATTTTATGAGGTAAAGCTTCATTTTATTGCATATTGATATCCATTTACTAAAAGGATACCTTTCTCATTGACTGCCTCTGAACTTCTTTCAGAAATCAATTGACCATATGTTTGTGGGTCCACTACAGGAGTTTATTGTGTTCCATTAACACAATAAACCATTTTTTCCTTTTTTTTTTTTTTTTTCATTCATGCAGTGTTTTATTCACTCAAGAGTACAGGATCAGACACTGTGCCTAACTCAATTGGTTTTAAACAACAGAAAGTAGAGCACTGAAATTGTACCTCTGACTATAGTAAAGAACTTACCCTCTCACATAAACAACCAGAAAAAGGAAGAAATACGTCTGTCTACACTATTACTATGCTATTTTTATTTTGTTTGACATATGTCTTGGAATCAGTGTAAATCATTCAACTTTATTTTTCTTTTCTAAAATTATATTGGCTTTTCTGTGTCGTAGGCGTTTTTGTATAAATTTTAACATCAGGTTGTCAGTTTCTACAAAAGAAACCTGTTGGAATTTTGAATGGGATTACTTTTCTATAGGTCAGTACCAAGAAATTGACATCTGAACATTTTGAGTCTTCCAGTCCATAAACATAGAACATTGTATAGATCTGTGATTATGCTGTTTTCTGTATTTTTGTGTATGCTTGAAAATTTTCACAATAAAAATATAGTCAGTTATCTTTTAGAGAAATTTAAAAGTCCAGAAAAAGTTTATTATATTTATACACATATTTTTCATTTTTGCTTTTGATTTCCCTGTGTGGATCCAGATTTCCATCTGATGTCATATTTCTTCTACCCAAGAACTTCTTGTAACATTTCTTAGATTATAGGTATACAGGTGATAAATGCTTTTGGCCTTTGTTTGTCTTTTTTCACCTTCATTTTTGAAAGATGTTTTGCTGAGTTTAGAACTGTAGGGTGGGAGAAGTGTCTAAACCAGAGAAATATGGCAAATCTGAAGAGAAGCCCTCACTTTTCAGTAATTCAGTTACAGCGTACCTTAGATTGATTGTCCTTGTGTTTGCCCTCGTTGGGTTTCATTGAGCTTCTTGTTTTTCTGGGTTGATGGTTTTTATAGAATTTGGAAAATTTTCATGCATGTTTTTTTCAAAAAGTATTTTGCATCCTTTCCCTGCTTTTCTGCTAAGATTCCAGTTTTATGCATGTTTGACTCCTTGACATTGTCCAGTAGGTTTCTCATGTTGTGTTTATTGTTTTTTCAGTCTTTGTTGATCTCAACTTCGTTTTTGACAGTTTCTTTTGTTTCTGTTGTTTCCACTATTTAAGCTTATTCTGCTCCTTTTTTTTTTTTTTTTTTTTTTCCACTATTTATGTTTTTTCTGCTCTTTTTTTTTTTTTTTTTTTTTTGCCATTTCTAATCTGCTGGTAATCTCATACAATATGTTTTTTGTTTCAGATGTTGCTTTTCCATCTGTATAAATTTTATAGGGGTCACTCGTATAGCTATCATTTCTCTTTGTCACGTTCATGTTTCCTCTACCTTCTTGAACATATTGAGAATATTTATGGTAGCTGTTTGATTGTTTCTGCTAATTATATCATCTGTGTCATTTCTGGGGCTTTTTGATTTTTTTTCTCCTTGTCATGGGTCTTATTTTTCTGTTTTATTTTCTTTTTTTTTTTTTTTTTTTTTTTTTTTTTCTTTTTTTGCATGCCTGCTAATTTTAGATTTGATGCTGGACATTTGTGTTAGATTTTGTTTTACTCTTTTAAGTATTGTTAGGCTTTGTTCTGAGGGGCGGTTAAATTACTTGGGATTGAGAGATTTATGTTCCTATTATATTGCGTATTAAATGTATTTCTACAGTTTATTTTATACAATAAATTGCCTTTACTAAATTTATCTATCAAAGACTAGTAAAACCATTAGAATTTATTAGATACGTGAGATTATGATTAATATGTTCATTCCTTAGTTATATTGACCTGGTAAAAAATTGCTATTGCTTTTTATTTATCTCACTGAAGATTTTATATTATGTGTATGGGCAATGAATTTATGCTGAGTTTCTCGTCGGGTAACCCTTAAATACTAAATCATCCCTTGGTATATACCTCTTGTTGTTTCAATTGTCTTCTAGAGTTCACAGTTACCAACAAAGAAAACTTGAAAATGAGCAGCCGACGGAAACGTGCTCCTCCAGTGAGGGTAGATGAGAAAAAGCAACAGCAGCTTCATTGGAATATGCATGAGGACAGAAGGAATGAAATTATCACCCTAAGTGATGATGATGAGCAGCCCTGCGCAGGTTCAGATACCTCTTCTGCTCACTGCATCATTCTGAGTGATAGTCTAAAGGAAGAAGTGGCTCACAGAGATAAGAAGAGGTGTTCGGAAGTGGTGAGCTTCTCAAAACCAATTGAAAAAGAAGAGACTGTTGGTATTTTCTCGCCTTTGTCTGTAAAGTTGAATATTGTGATTTCTCCCTATTGCTTCGATAATTCCTGGAAAGCATTTCTAGGAGAATTAACTCTTCAGCTTCTTCCTGAACAGAGTTTAATTGAAAATTTTTCTGAAAGGAGCTTTACATTGATGAGTTCAGAGTCAAGCAATCAGTTCCTGATCTGTGTTCATTCAAAAGGTGAAGATGTAGAGAAACAAAAAAAAGAACAAATGAGTATTTGTGACAAGGGTATTCTAGTGGAGTCATCCTTCAGTGGTGAAATGTTAGAAGATTTGGCGTGGCTGCAAAAGAAGAGAAGAATAAAACTTTATCAGAAACCAGAAGGAAATCACATTATCAAGGTACTCAATTTTTATGGTGTCTTTTATGACTCTTCTACATTGGCAGTCCACTTTGAAATTAACTTAGAAGTATGAAAAGCCAGCAGTAAGCCCTTCATTGTTAAGTTTCAAAGTACACTTTATTTTAAGCTTTTAATAACTATAAAAAATGTATGTTACAACTAACCATTTTTAGTCTACACTTTTTCAAGATCTTTCATTTCTACTTTCAGTGACTTGTTTTGGTCCTCATCATCTCTTCCTCTTAGTTCAGCAGTCATTTAACCATTTCTCTGTTTGCTGTTTTGCCCATTCATAATCCTAGAATGGTAATGAATGCAAATGAAATTCTACTCATTATTGCTTACAGAATTAAGTATAATCTTTCTAATCTGTTACACAGCTTCTTCCCCTGACAAACCCTTGAGCCATATTCTTTATTATTCTTCTTTTTATTTTGCCCAGAAACTCCAAATTGATTTATTTATTCCACACTGTCTTTCTGTGTCTTTGCTTTTGTTCTCACAGTTCCTTCTGCTTGAGTTGTTCCCTTCCCCTTCCCTGGTAATTCCTGGTGATTCTTTAATATGTAGTTTAGCATTTAATTCATTCAGGGAGATAGTTTTTTAAATCTGTTAATATTACATGCCCTCTCCTCGGAATCTCTGATACATTTTTTTTTTTTTTGGTTTTTTTTTGGCCTTGGCAGCTTGTCATGTACTTAAATTTTAGATCTTTCCCCTTTGCTAGACTATGAAACCTTTCATGTTTACAATCTAGTAAAGTACCTGGTACCTAAATTTTCAGTAGATGAATGAATGAATTTGTAATTTATTTCAGTCTCTGCCATTCACTGGCCAAGTAACTTTATGTGAATCATTTCAATGCTCTAATTTCAGTTTCTTTATGAAATGTAAATAATATCCATTCTTCTTAGAGCATAGAATTGTGTTTAAAATCAGGTCAGATAAAGCAAGGAAGTACACGTTTTAAACTATGAAGCAAGTTAATGTGCTTTTATGCTAAATCTTGAAAAGATATTTTAAAACGTTAATTTCATGTGGTTTAACTGAAAACTGTCTCATACATTTTTACATTAATAAGAAACAACAATTTCAGAATTCTCAGAAGGAAAGGAGAAAATTTAGAATTATTAGAATGCAATTAATTTTTCCCTGTACAGTGAAAATATATAACCAAGTCTTTACTGATTTTGCCAAAATTGTGGCTCAGTGGTAACAAGTATGTAACAATTTATGACTTACACAGATATCTGTGTTCTATCTACATTCCTGCAAACCAAGTCTTTATCTATTCTGTTTTTCCTGATCCTGAATTTTACAAATATTTAAACATATATTGCTGCTGTAGTAAGACATCTTCAAGTGAACCAAGACAGAATGCAAACAGTAATGAAATACATTCTTTGTCATTCATTCCTGTGTAAGCCTGGTGGATTCTGTTCTTTAGCGAAAATATATGACATTCTCAGCGATTAGGGACTCAGGTCCAACATAGTCACCATGAAGTAAAGGGAAGCTAGACTTCTCTCTATTTTGTAAATGAGAACATTTGGGTCAAAATAAGTAGGTTATTTTTCTCAAATTTATTTAGCTTCTAAATATCAATGCCAGTGTTCAGAATGAAGTCTTTAAACTGTAAAACTTTATACTACATTGCTTCCCTGGGGTCAAAATATTAACATTAATCAAGGTTGATTTTTAAACACGTTTTAGTGTTTGATTCAGTAATAAGGATGCCCAAACCTAACAATGGAGAAGAGTCCTAGCTTGTACATTATAATCTTCTGGTGAAATCTACGTTAACAAACTTGACTGATTACTTCATCAGTTTTGGGAATCATTGCATTGATAGTTAGAACTAGGTGTTCTTATCACATTCTTCCAGGTTCAATTTCAGTTAGGGAAATACTTTCTAGCAACTCAAATTGTACATTGTAGGCACTTAACATTTGTAGAATGAATTTCTTATTGAAAATGAAATGTGGGGGAAATTTGGTTGGTATGTATTTATTATTTGTGGCACAAATGCTATGAATACCTTTAAAAGTAGTATGCTATTTTTTTCCTTTCTTATGTCCTCATAAAGAATGCTATATTTGAATTGAAACTACTTTTATTTTGATTAATTCTTTGTAGGTTGGAATTTATCTTTTGGAAGCTGGCCTAGCAAAACTAGACTTCTTGAGTGATGCAAATTCAAGAATGAAAAAGTTCAATCAGCTCATGAAGAAAGTAATGGAGAAGTTGCACAATTATGTTATTCCAGGTAATATTTTCTGTAAACTTAAAAATTGCTATTACTTCGGAGTTGTGAGTTTTTATTTCTCTAACTCCTAGACATAACAACCAGAAAAACAGCTAATGAAGCCATAATAAAAATTAATGATTTTATGGCAAATTATACTTACTTGAAATGCCCCCACTAATATAATTTGTTTCTTTGTTCAGCTCTGTGCTTAGCTTATAGTAATATTAAAAAATATTTTCAGAGTCAGTATGCAAGTCAAAAGGCAGAGTCTAAAGGGATCCGACCTGGTTGGGATTTTTGCATTATTCCTGTGCTTTTATTTTGTCATGGCCGGAGACTCTTGGCTAGCGTTTATTCCACCTCTCCTTTGCAGTCTGACAAATAATTTCAAAAGCCTGGTTCCCATAAAGACCAGATAACTTTGCTCTATTTCTTGGCAAGATGTTGCATCTTTGGTCAGGACTGCAGATTCAGACTTGTCTGCCATTGGTCACCACAGGAGAGTGTAGATAGCTTGGTGCAGCTCATCAACGTTATCGGAAAAACAGCCCAAATTTTCCAAGTTCTGCTCATGGTGGGTCAGCATTATCTCAGGTGCAAATTATAGAACATTGTCATACTGGAGTTTTTGGAAAATCAGTTTCTAACCTTGATTGTTCTCTGGTACATTCTTTGCAATGCTTTATAATATCAGTAATAGTAAATTATTTTGCAAGTTAAATACTTTAAATGAGGAAAGTATTGGGATTAAAAGGAATGAATTTAAGTACATCTAGAATTTTTAAAGTTATGGCCTTTTACAAATATCACAATTTGTACATTTTAAAGCCTGATAATCTAAGGAAAGCTTCAAATTTAGCTATTAATCTTAGATTTTATAATTATAGTAAAATTCTAAAACAACCAAGCATATAGCTATACATTAAGTATGAAGTTTTGGAAATTTTATGTTGCATATTTTTTATTGGAAAAAAAGGCGTGCATTTTTTTGGTGCGATTTTTAGTTTTAGAAGTTATGAAGTATGTCCTATAAAAATGTATAGGCCTTTTTGAAAGCAATTCAGAAATAAATGGTATAGTTTTTCACCTTGAAATAATTAGGTTTTAAATAAAGAACTATTCGCTGAAAGGAGTTTGTAAATATGTTGAAGGTTTTTATTTTTTTATGTTATAGGAAACATAAATCTTCTACAGAGCTATTGTACTCACCAAATGAAATTAGTATTTTTACAACTTTGCATCAATAGCATAATCACTTGTCTTCCAGATGGCTGCTACTGCTATCAAATGCCTATCCTTTTTTAGCATAAGAAATAAAATGAGAACCCTTTACTTGTTAGACATAGAACAGTTGTGTCTGCATATGGACTTTGTATGTTAAAATTGTAAAAGTAAAATAAATTGTTCCTGTATAAACTTCAAACGGTATTCACATTGAGTTCCTCATATGTTTATAAAATATCCACAATAGGCAAGACATGTGTCAGCTACATGTCACGTTCTCTAAGGGGCTACAAAAATTAATAACTTTGCCTTTGTCTCACTGGGAAAGGGACCAATGCACATAAATGATTGCAGTACCAGATAGATTACAATGTAATAATATTGTATCCAGAATATAAAAGTATTGCACAGCAAAGGAGAGAACGTAATTCCAGCCAAGGAGCAAAAAAAGAAAATGCCATGGAAAAAGTAGGCAGTTAAACTTTCTTGAAGAATGGATGAGTAGATTTTTGATTATTGAGGAATTAAAAGATAGGGCCTTTCAGTGACAGAACACACTAAGCAAGGCCCCAGAGTTGGGCAAGTTCATCATATGCTCTTAGAATAAGAATTGCTTATAATTAGAAAAGGCATTATCAGTTTTTGAGAACATTTGTTGTGTGATGTACAGATGTGTTGGAAGAGGATGAAGATGATTCAGAGAGTGAGCCAGAGGGACAGGACATTGATGAGCTGTATCACTTTGTGAAACAAACGCATCAACAAGAAACACGGTCTATCCAAGTGGATGTCCAGCATCCTGCATTGATCCCTGTGTTGAGACCCTACCAAAGAGAGGCTGTCAACTGGATGCTACAACAAGAGTGTTTCAGAAGCACTCCTGCTACTGGTAAGAATAAGATGCTTAAAGAAAGGCAAATTGATTAGAGAGATTATATGAGAGACAATTAGGGTAGGGAGAAATTGATCATTAAAATAAATGTGCTGAAAATATAAGATAGAATGGGTGTTAATATAAACAAAATTATTTCCTAAGAAATTCTTCAGAATTGAAATCTAAAAAAAATAATTTGTGAGTTTCTTCATTCATAAAAGTTTGAACTGGTTTTTCCTGACAAAAGGAAATCAAAGGCTCCCTCAATAGGAATTTTTTAAAACCAAGGAAAATTTTTTTTACACTCCTTTCAAACAAAGAGTTGCTGTTTAAAATCTGGTCAAGTGGGAATCTTACTGATCATCTGCAAGAAACTTCTCACAATTTAATGGTGAATGTTAGTGACAGAAAGCAAATTTACCAAAGTAGGAGACTTAAGTGATTAATTTTCCTAGATTTTACATTTTTTCTTTATAATAAGTAATAAAATGTCACCTATTGAATACTATTATGAAAGTAGTCATTTTACAGGAGGGATTTATGCCACTTCTTTATTCTTGTCTTTTTTCATTAACTTTGTTGGGGTAAAAGTGGTGTTAGGTTACATGGATGAATTAGATAGTGATGAAGTCCGGGCTTTTAATGTACCCATCATCTAAATAGTGTGTATTGTTCCCACTCGGTAATTTTTCATCCCTCATGTCCCTTCTGAGTCTCTAGTATACATTATACTATTCTGTATGCCCCTGTGTACTCATAGCTTAGCTAACACTTGTAAGTAAGAACATGTGGTATTTGTTTTCCTGTTCCAATTTCTTCACTTCGGATTTAATGGTCTGCATTTTCATCCAAGTTGCTGCAAAAACATTATTTCATTCTTTTTTATGGCTGTGTAGTATTCCATGGTTTCCATGGTGTGTGTGCACACCTACCCCCCTCGTCACACATTTTCTTTATTCACTTATTGATTTATAGGCACTTAAATTGATTCCATATCTTTGCAATTGTGAATTTGTATTCCGATAAACATGTGAGCACAGGTGTCTTTTTGTTATAGTGACTTGTTTCCCTTTGGGTAGATACCCAATAGTGTTGCTAGAGTAAATGATAGATTTCCTTTTAGTTCTTGGAGAAATCTCCATACTGTTTTCCATAGAGATTGTACTAATTTTCATTCCCATCAGTAGTGTAAAAGCATTCCCTTTTTACTGCATTCGTGCCAACATCTGTAGTTTTTTGAATTTTTAATGGTCATTTTATTCTATCAGATAAAAATATAAAATATCTGTTAATCTCTAAAGAAGGCGACTGAAAATTACTTGGTGTTTCATTGGTGGGTAGAAACATGCTACTTATTTGTCAGTTGGTTTAAATAAGTTAAATATTAAGGGGAGGGATAGTGGAAGATTCTGATAGAAGCAAACTCAGCACTTCTGAGTTATGGTTTTAGATATTTTTTTCTCAGTTAAACCTTTCTTCCCACTCTCAGACCTGTAGAAGTGGTCAGGTCTTATTCAGGTAAATGTGTTAGCCCACTAGCATATGTCTATTGAATTATTCAAAGACTTCATATAAATTATTGCAAGATTTATTAAAAATAGACTTATCAGGTAGGAGCTGGTTATGTGTATTAGTTTTCCTGTTAATTCTCTATAATTTGCTACACTTTGCTTTTCTGTCTTATTATTTGCTGATACGGATTTGTGCCCAAAACAAAGGGAGCCAAAGAGTAATATCAGAAGAAAGGAAATAGACTGACATTTAGCTTTTTACTCATGTGTTAAGTAAGTGGCTTTTTCAGAATGAGACTACACAAGAATATGGGTATCACTATGTCAGAGTATTCTCACTGTTAACTTTTATTTTAATGTGATTATCTGACAGAGGGAAAACAAAAATTTATTATGTTTTTCTCTAGAAAGTGCCCTACACTACTTATGGCGAGAGATTGTTACATCTGAGGGTTTGAAACTCTACTATAATCCATATACGGGCTGGTAAGGCAAAATTTTACTTATATGCTTTATTTAAAAAATAAATGTAATGAAAAACTGTCTGAGATTGTTAGCATAGCTGTAACTTTGGCTCTATCTCATGAAGGAGTCAAAGGTGAAGTCTTACTAATTAGACATCTTTATGGATAGGATAGATTTATAATTAATAGCACTTGTCATTTTTCAGTAAATGAATTTGGAATAATAGACATACGGTACTTAGTTGTCAAGATTTAAAGAGATTATTATTCTAAGTGAAAATATTGTCTTGTTTGTTATGGTGCCAGTTTTTCTTTTTTAGGAATCATTAAACATCATGAATGAATCAGTGGTTATTGCCCTTAGTAATTTTTTAATTCATAGGTTCATAAAGATCATAGAAAGAAGGCAGGCGTGTTCTCTTTCAACTACTATTCATTTCTGCAGACTGACTTGTCAGCTCAGGCAGTTTTTTGGGTTATCACAGTTCTTATGTTCATAATCTAGGGTTTGAATTGTTTCATACTAAAATATAGTTTCAGTAAACTTAGACTTCATACATTGCTTTTAGTTCTTTTTAGGAAAAGCAATTAGGAACAGTATAATTTGTATTCAGATTCCTATGATGTGTGATTTCTCTTGTTTTTTCCTTAGCATCATTCATGAGTACCCAAATTCTGGACCTCAGTTGCTTGGTGGAATCTTAGCAGATGAGATGGGTCTTGGAAAGACAGTGGAGGTTTTGGCTCTGATTCTGACACATACTCGACAAGATGTCAAACAAGATGCTCTCACTCTTCCTGAGGTAGGAAGAGTAACAGTAGTGCTTGGAAAAGCGAGGGACATACGTTCTCAAAAAGCATCATATGTTGAATTTGCTTGGCACTTACGTCAACATTTTCTGTTCACTCTGTGGGTAATGATTTATATTAAGGGTTAGTTAACTTCAGCTGGGCAGAGAGAATGGGGTGTTTGTGACCCAGAAGATTTATTTGTTAATTAAGTGATGTTGGCATACTAGAAGAGAATTTGCAGTCACTTACTAAACTTCCTTCTAGTTGGCAGAGAAAGTCCTTTACAAAAGTACTATTGATTCCTCAAATGTTTTGTCACTAATAGAAGTCTCCATATTATCACTAAATATTTTTAAGAGCTATTGAAAAATATTCTACAAATCTCAGACATACACAGCTTAGAGCCAAATTGTTAGAACTTTGTTAAAGAACAGGTAGCTTAGTCAATAGATTGCTAAATGAAACAGACTTCAAGTCCTTGTCCCAAAATACATAATTGTGTTTAAAAATACACATTTTAGAGTTTACAAAAATAGCATCCACTAAGGCAAATATAGTATATAGTTCAGTTTTCCAGTAATGAAATCTGAAATCAGCTCATTAAAACTTTCTGAAATGAAGTCAGTAGTTAAAGGTATAACCATAATTAATTACGTCTAGGGCCCACCAGGCTCACAGCTTTAGCATTATGTTATCTTTCAGTAAGGCCAAGTTTGCAGAATTAGCCTTTCAGATTTGAGTAGGAAATAGAAAAAATATACATTTTTTTTTTTTTTTGTAGAAAAAATGACTTGGAATATATTGACTTAATTATCAGTAACTTCTTTCTGAGATTTCCTGCTCATTACTATTTTAATTCCAAGTTACTTTCATATTACTGTAAATTTAGTGGGTTAATTTTATATTTAAATATACCTTTAAAAATTAATTTCAGAGGTTCCACACATAACATTTTGGTAATTTAAGATAAGTGATTTCTAGCTATAAGCTCAGAAATTTTTAAAAAGGTATGTATATATCTACAGCATATTTGGCCCTTTCTCTTGCAGTTTTTTTTTAACACCTGTTTTGCATTTTGATAAAGAAGGAAAGTTAATTTCAGTAAGCAATTCAGAATACTGAAAGCAGAACACTTTGTAACTACTGAATGTTGTTTATATCAGGGAAAAGTGGTGAATTATTTTATTCCATCACATTATTTTGGAGGAAAAGTGAAAGAGACAGAAGTCCGTAATACCGAATTTGAACCAAAAGAAAAAGTTCAGTGCCCTCGTAAGTATGACATGTCTTAAAGGAAATACCTTCTTAGAGTGATCTTTGCTAAAGTTCTTGCAATCCTTAGAGATATCTTGTAATTGTTATGAATAATTGTTTTTACAGTTATATATGCTTTCATAAATGAATTCAATTACGTCATAATATCTTAACAAAAGTGAAGATATATTCTTTTGTTTGACGTGGTCCAGGTAGTTCTTGCTCAGTCTGTTACATTTAAATTTCTTTAGGTTACAATTTAAACCAAGATTTGTTTATCTTTTAGCAAATGAATGTTTCTCATACTAATAGTAGAGGATACTTAAATAGTGGTGAGGTTTTCTTTTATAATTTTGAATGATTGTTGTTTGGTAGTATTAACAATTGAATATGAGTAATTCTTCCTTCAATTATTTCTAGTACAGTAATTTGTTTCTTAATGTGCTGAGATACATTTTTATTACATATTTTTCAAAATGGCACTACACTGTAATAAATCTTTGATTTTTTTTCTTAACTCGGTCTTCATGCAGATTAAGATTAACCAAGTTTTACTTTCTTTTCATTTTAATTATTTTGACTGAGTTAGCATATCCTTTTACATTTAGCTACACGTGTGATGATCCTGACAGCTGTGAAAGAAATGAATGGAAAAAAAGGAGTGTCCATCCTTTCCATCTATAAGTATGTCAGTTCTATATACAGATACGATGTTCAACGGAACAGGAGTCTTTTGAAACGGATGCTGAAATGTTTAATTTTCGAAGGTCTTGTGAAACAGATCAAAGGCCATGGTTTCTCTGGGACTTTTACGTTGGGAAAGAATTACAAGGAAGAGGATATATGTGATAAAACGAAAAAGCAGGTAACAGAGCTTGAGTTAAGCTCAATATTAACTGCATGTGTGTGATAGCGAGTTCATTGACAGATCCCACCTTGATACTGAAACTTACAATCTGAAGATAAAAAACAAAATATTTAGGAAAAGTACTTATATCTATAACTCATATTTTCTTCTTTGTCGTTGTAAGCTTCATGAGAGTAACTTTATTTTGGTTATCATTAAACCTAGAGGATAGTGCTTGGCACATAAAAAATACTCAGATACTTTTGAGTGAATTATAAAATTTGTTGGCTAAGCATATCATAAGAGTCTAAAGCGTCTTCTGTATTGTTTATTTTTATTATTATTTTTTTAAGAGACAGGGCATCTGTCTATTGCCCTGGCTAGAATGCAGTGGTCATAGTGTAGCCGGGGGAGGGAGCCAGGGCTTCTCAAATGCTCCCAGTTCCCCGACATGCCCAGATCCTTGGCCTCTCTTACCCCAAGAGTGGGGGAAAGGTACGCCAGAGGTGCGGTGAGCTTATGGTTCGAATAAATATCATGGAGCCAAAGAGTTTTGCAGAGAGCAATTTGTTAGGCAGACAGAGAAAAAGAGAGAGAGAGAGAGAGAGGCAGCTCCCATGCTGCCATGGGAGGGGATACAAGGGAGGTAACCGTATAGGTAAGGAGCATCAGGCTTGGTTAACTCTGAGTTATTCCCTCCCCATTTATGTTCTTGTCCAATGAGAGGAGTTCTTTCAAACTTACTCTGGAGTGATTCGTCTTTGACTCTGATAACAGATTGACTACTTGGTCTGCAACAGAACCACCTCTTCCCATAGTTTTCTGTGGGCTTTTTGAACAAAGAAGCTCACCTAGATCTTCTACCCAGCCCTCGCGGGAGAAAGTTAGACAAAGAACTTTACCTTCCGGATTGGGGCGTGGATGGAGGCATGGTGCTGGGAAGCTCCTGCCTTTGAAACCATGCCCCTCGTGAACTTGGGAAGAGAAGCTTTTTTCCTTAACACAGTCCCTCAATAGCTAACTGAAGCGTTGAACTCCAGTGCTCAAGCTGTCATCTTGCCGTAGCTTCCCAAGTAGTTAGGACTACAGGCCACCATGCCTGGTTAATTTTTCTTGGTTTTTGTAGAGATGGGGGTCTCACTATTTTGCCCAGGCTGTTCTTGAACTTATGGCCTCCGTGTTCATCCTTCCTCAGCCTCCCAAGGCATCGATTAGAATTACAGGCATGAGCCACCACAAGCCTGGCCTTGTGTATTCTTCCGCTGCTGTCAGAAGTTAAAAAGTTTGTTCCACATTTCAAAAATATTCATAATACCTTAAATTTGCATTGCATGTTACATAATTTCAAATCTTTTATATAAATTCTCATTTTCCTTATATTATTATCTTTAAAAAATTCCTGCATTTTGATAGAAAACTGCTTCTTTTGGGCCAATAATTTCAATTTGCTTTTAGGGAAATAGTTATAATATTTGCAGACATAAATAAAGACTAATGGTAACAAGTAAAAATGTGGAGCTACCAGCTTGACCACCATGAAAAGTACAAAAAATTCATTTCCTGAAGTAAGGAGTCTATGGTATTATCCTCAGGTAGCATAGAAGACAGCAATGAACTGTGCTTTTGGTAACCCTGCTGCTGCCAAAACTAGAAAATTTCCCTGAGTTAATGCCATTGATTACATGTTGTGTCTTAACTCCCCTGTTTGACTTCAATTCTGATATCACTTGGAGGAAGCTGTCCCTATTACCTACCTGCCTATCATATTCCCTCTATGTTATATAACTGTTTATAATTGCAAGAAAGGACACAGGTAGAAAGGGGAAGGAAAGAAGGAATCTATTTGTTAATTGCAGTAACCATTGCATTATCTTTTACTTTCTTTGGATGCTATATTTTAGTACTTGGTATTTTTGTAATTGCTGTAATTTGTATATGTATGTACAAAGCACTAGTCTTGTATTGATTGAGGCAGACTATAAATCGTAGTAGATTAATAACAAAATATTAGTAGCTTCCTTTATCTTTCTAATCTTTCATCTCTCCAGATCTTGTGCACTTGTAGAGCCTTCCTTTTGTTTTGAGATCTGCAGCCCAAAGTGAGGGTCCTTACAGAGGGCAGATTGAAAGCCACTTATCAGGAATGATTCTCCTCAGGGAAAAGGATAGCAAAGACTGGCTGCTAGATTTTTATATAAAATACTTACATAAAGTCAGGAGTTTAATTTCAGAAATGCAACTATGTTGAAATTAATTAATTAAATATTTTTCTCATAGGCATTAGGGAGTCCAAGGAAAACTCAGAAAGAATCTAGAAAATCGGGGAACAAGGACACAGATTCTGAATACTTGCCATCAAACACCTCTGATGATGATGATGATGATCCTTACTATTATTATTATAAGTCCCGGAGAAATCGTAGTAAATTGAGGAAAAAGCCTGTTCCATCCGCAAAAAAAGGAAAAAGTCAATCTTTTATCAATCCCAATTCACAAGGTCACTGTCCACCTACTACTGACTGTGGAATAACTGATGTTGCTATGTCTAAAAGTACATGTATACCTGAATTCAACCAAGAACTTGAAACAGAGGACTGTGCCCAATCTCTAAATCCTGCTGATGGTGATGTGCCACCTTCTAATATCATGAGTCCCTTTAACACCTCTGATTATCGCTTTGAGTGTATATGTGGTGAACTTGATCAGATAGATCGTAAGCCTCGTGTTCAATGCCTGAAGTGTCACCTATGGCAGCATGCAAAGTGTGTGAATTATGATGAGAAAAATCTGAAGATCAAGCCTTTTTACTGCCCCCACTGCGTTGTTGCAATGGAGCCAGTATCAACAAGAGCAACTCTGATCATCTCTCCAAGTTCTATCTGTCACCAGTGGGTGGATGAGATCAACAGGCATGTGAGGTCATCGTCTCTTCGAGTCTTGGTAAGGCCACTGTGGACTAAAGAGGGAGAGGAAATATAAAGTGTTGTTTCTTCATGATAGTTTTCTCATCTTTGTTTCTTTGCTGTTTATCCTCAAAACTAACGGAATGATTTAATAGTAATGTTAAAGCTTAAAGAAAAAAATTGAGACTAAGAAATAGTACAGTGTTATTCTTTTCTAACATCAGAATTTCAGCATTAAAGCATTTTGAATATAAAAATGTGAAAGCTTTTTAAAAATTCTTGATTATGTAAATGAAAAAATCTTGGTATAAGCATTTACAGTCTTCAGAGAGAAATGTAATCCAAAAGCAGCACTGTGTAACAGGAGCTACTTACCTGATCTGCCTTCTCTTCACTCCAGAATCATCCTCTGAAGCTTCAATTACCTCAGCTGTAAAATAAGAATTTACTTATACAGCAAATCTTTATTCACCGTCTGTTATGCGCCAGGAACTGTGCTGAGTTTTAAAAATAGTATCCAGTGAAAAATAGTATCCAGCAAATATGATTTCCTAAATTACTGGGCACATAGTAATGTTATTGTTTCCTAATGTTAATACTCTTCACTACTTTCATTTTTCCTTTTCATGCAAATGTTACTGAAGGTTGTTGTATTTCATCCACTCTACATAGGCATGGAGAATACAGTAATAAGTAAAACAATTTCTGCTGTTAAGAAGCTCTGTTCTGTGTGGGTAGGCAAACCTTTGAGTCTTAGTTCTGTCAGTTTTGAGTAAGTCACTTTATTTTTCTTATGTGTGGGAAAGAAGTATTAACAACTACCAACAGAATTATTGTTGAAGTTTGGAGATAATGCTTAGCTCAGTATCTGAAACATAAAAGGCATTTCATAAATAATAGCTCTTATTGTTCTAGTTTTTCATACCATTGTGCTTTCACATATGCTATTGATTCCATCCTCCTACCTGCATACGGCCCTTTTCTCTTTTTGCCGCCTATGAGAACCTTTTTGATATACCCCAAGTTTTAACTCCTCTGTGATTTCACCTTCTCTGCTACGGAGTTGGTCTTTTCACAGTAATGCTGTCACGTTTATGTTTATTACAGTTTCTTGCATGTGGTTATGTAATTCATCTTCCACATGAAAACATATCTTTCTCTAAACAGGTATGGGACCTGTCTCATAGCATGAATGCTCCTAAGAAAATAGCGAGGACTGAGTAAGAGTATAAATGAGTGAATGTTTTACTGTTTTTAATGAGCCTTTTTGCAATAACTGCCTATATTGATTGTTTCCTAGGTATATCAAGGAGTGAAGAAAGATGGCTTTTTACAACCTCATTTTTTGGCAGAACAGGATATAGTTATCATCACCTATGATGTGCTTCGTTCAGAATTAAATTATGTCGATATCCCACATAGCAATAGTGAGGATGGACGTCGCCTAAGGAACCAGAAGCGCTATATGGCTATCCCAAGCCCCCTAGTAGCTGTGGAGTGGTGGAGGATTTGCCTTGATGAAGCTCAGATGGTTGAATGTCCTACAGTAAAAGTGAGAGTTTCTGCAAAATCTTTTGAGGGCTGGGGAAGAAGGGGGAAAAAGAATTAGGGGAACTTGAATAGTTTAATAGTTTATGTATGGTTAACCTGTAGGACTGATATTGGTCAAAACTTTGTTGTTAAACACTACTTGTGCTTTTCTCTTGTGCTATGAACTATATAACCCTTTGAAATTAGTTTTATACTCTGAATCATTGCTCTATATGAAATACATATATTTCAGTGAGATGTCTCTTATGTATGATGCAGATCAAAGTAAACTGCATTTAGGAACTTTTATAAGCATTTCTGCTAACTGGGAGCTCATCATGTAGCCTCTGATAGCTTTGAGCCAAAGTTGACTTTGACAGTTTTTTAAATCAGAGGCCAAATGGTAACAGAAAATCCTTCTTTAGAGGACAGAATTTTGATTCAGCCTTTGAGTGTCATATATCTTTATTCTGCTGTCTTTGGCCAGTCAATAACCTGAACTGAATGTGTGAATCATATCCATTAGCATATCTGGAGGATGGAGTGATGTAGGGCATGGATCAGTTTTATTCAGGGGCTTTTTCATTCCATAGGTATTTGAACTACCCCTCTATTTTAGGGGACTGCGTGGCAGCCTCCCACTAATGAGAACCACTGTACTGGAAGATGGTCCATTGAATATGACATTCAACATTGAATGTGATAACTGTTAAGTAAAAGCAGGTACATCTCGCCAGAAGTGTAGCTTTTAATGGGCTGTTTTTCATGAGTATACCTGACTTCTGTGCTCTTTCTGTGGTTTTCTGGGTTTTGTTTTTATTTGATTTTCTCTCTTATCAGGCTGCAGAAATGGCCCAGCGTTTGAGTGGGATTAATCGGTGGTGTATCAGTGGCACTCCAGTACAGAGAGGATTAGAGGGTACTGTATGGTTTCCTCACATATTGCATAATTTTGAAAAGCTTCATTTTTTTCGAGAAAAAAGTATTGTTATGCTTAACCTTTGTGCAATCCTTACTGAAGTGATGAATCATGTCTTTATGGTTGACCTAATAGTTTCAAGCATTTATCTTTTTAAGTGGGACTTAGGTGATTTTTCTGTTTGTATATATCGGGACAGATATATAGTAAGAGCTCTCGTTGCCTTAAGTTGAGCAATTATTGTACCTGCCTAAACGGTATAGATATAGTTTGATTTAGAGTTCCAAAGTCATAGGTAGAAAACAGAAAGAATCTAACCAAAAAGAAACAAAGGCTGGAGCGGGGAAGGAGGAGAGGCAGGAAAAGGGAGAAAGGGAATTAATTTCAATTGACCATGTCTATAAAAGTGGAGACTGTAGTTTTTATTGTATGAACCCATGAATACTAGGACCATATTTTAGTAATTATAAAAGTTATTAGTAGCCTGATAATGTCACACTATATGTATATACCGTTATTCCTTGAACCATTCCCCTTCTTGGACATTTAGCTTGTGTCTAGTTTTTTCCTCCTCTCCACACATACCTTGAAATGATCCCTCTGTGTTAATGTTATTGTCACTTTTTCCATAGAACAGACACTGCATTTCTAAAACCTGTATTCAAGTTGTGAATATCTAAAATGAAAAGTTTAAATCTTGTTTTATATATTTCTCCAAAAGCTGTTATTAAAATATATTTAAATTACAAAATTTAAATATACTTGGAAGTTCCATAGTAAATATTCATCTTTAAAACTTGTCTTTCTGAAAATCCAAGTTTTCATATATTCGTTTTCAGCAGGATAACTTATTCCACTAAAAGCAAAAATATCAGCATCCATTACTTAGACCTCTAAAAGCAGTGTTTTCCAATGATTATTTTTAGGAGGGAAAGGTTTTCTAGTAATGTCTTCTAGTATATATTTAAATATTTGCATAACTTAAATGCTACATTTAGATACATATTTATAGAATGATATTAAGTTCAGTAAAGGACCACATTTAGTGGTCTCCTTTCATGTGTTTTTAAACAAGAAATATTTAAAAATATTTACAATTTTGAAACTGTCAAAATTGTAGAGCTTTAGGTGTTAATAAGATCTAAGATCTTACTCAGCTCAAAAGTTAGCTGATAGAGTATAGAAAAGAGTACGTGACTATCAGAGTTACTTTTTCTAATTTTAATGTTGAAAAAATATGAGCAATAACTTCTTAGTTCCCTAGATAGATTTTTTGGAGATGTAAGATGTTGGCAAGTGTTTTGAACCCCGGTCACCATACAACAAATTCTTGAGTAATTTTTTGAAAACCAACTTTCTTAAGCTATTTGAACTTAATTGAGGCATAAATGACATATAATGTAACTAAATATTTAAAATATCACCTTTGAAAATTTTGATATGTATGTGTAGCCATGAATATATTTGCACTAGGCAAGTTTTCCTCATGTTCCAAGTCAGCTCCAAAAGAGCTTTTCTAGACTTTCTAGAATTTTGTCTTTTTCCCTTGCTTCCAAACTTCTGGTATCTTTATGATTCTTGCAATTAAATGGTTTATTTCTAGTTGTCACACTGGGAATGTTAGTCTGCTCATGACTTACTGTGTTGTATTTGGACATGGAAGTCTCATTTGTTTTCTTTTTGTGTTAAACTAGGGTTTCTCAACATTGGCCCTATTGAAATTTGGGGCCAGATAATTCTTTTTCTTTGGGAACTGTCCTATATGTTTTAGGATGTTTAGCTTCTACCCACTAGATGGCTGGTAGCACTCCTACAATTCTGACACCCAGAAATGTCTACAGAAATTACCAGACTGAAATAATGTCACCTACTTGGAATGTCAAATATGGAAGAACGCTTCTACTCCTTCTACCCCCCACACCCTTTGTCTACATAACATATTTGTTCGTATAATACAGAAAGCATTGGCTTTGGGGAATATATAAACCTGGGTTATATTACATCCTGACTTATTAGTTGTGTGTCCATAAATAAATTCCTTAAACATGTAAGTCCTTATTTTTCTTATCTATAAAATAACGTGTTTTAAAGAGTAATTATAATAAAGTTTACAAAGGATTTAGCATAGTACTTAGCAAAAATTAAATATTCAATGAATGATAGCTGCTTCTACTTCTGCTTTTTTTATTTTTCGTTTATGTAGTCATTTACCTATTTCAGTGTCTTTGAAAGTGTCGAAGTTAAATAAGTTCTTTGTGATACATTTATTATTTATTATTATTTATGTATTTCATTTATTTCTTTGTGAGGTAGGATAGAATCTTAACAAATTTTTGCTTTTAGGATACCACAGACTAGATAACTACAAAAAAGCGAAGCCTATTTAACTCACAATTCTAGAGGCTGGGACATCTAAGAGCATGACACTGGCAGCTGGCAAGGATCACCCCATGGTGAAAGGTGGAAGGAGTACATGAGATACAGAGAAGCACCAGGGGCTGGACTTGGTTTATAACAAACAACCCTTGAGATAGCTAGCCGGCTCCCACAATAATGACATTAATCCACTCATGAAGGTTCCATGCTCATGACCAAGTCACATCTTACTAGGCCCCACCTCCTAATACTGTTCATTGGAAACTAAGCTTCTAACACATGAACTTTTGGGGGATACATTAAAACCATAGCAGATGATGAGCAAAAGTAGATACGATCCCTGATCAATTGAGCTTACAGCTTAGAGGAAAACATATATTTCTTAAAATATTTCTTAAATACATAGATAAATATTAAATGTCAATTGATATAACTTTCACAAATGAAAAAAATGGAAAATTCTAACAGGTTTCATTGAAAAAAAATCTGGTTCTGTAGCATCATACAATCAGGATGCAGAAGGAACTGACAACTGGGCTGTGATCTGAAACACGAACGTATGTTAGGTAGAAAGGGAAGGAAAAAATGCTCTATTGTAGAGGAAACAGAAAATATTAATGTGAATAGATCGTGGCAGACATAGTATCATTGTGTCTAGAAGCATAAAGAGCTAGGGAGATAATGGTGCATTGAGAGACTAGGTGGGTAGAGATGGGACTATGGAGGATGCTGTTTGCCATGTTAAAGAATTTTATTTTTTTCCTTAGGAACAGGAGCTATTGAAACGATGTAAACACAGTGGTTGGGGTCATCTTATGGTTAGATTTGTATTTTAAAAGATCACTCTTCTTGCAGTGTGGAGAGTGGTTTAGAAGAGGATAAGAGTGAATGTTAGTATATCAATTGTCTGTAAGAAGTAATCTAGGCAAGTGGTGCTGGCACTTTTGATTTGGCCTAGGTTTGTCCTAAAGATACAGAAAAAAAGTGGATAGTTAACAAGCCTCAATGACAGATCAGGAGATACCAGGATTTCTGACATGCATATATCCATGAATGGTGACTGGTTTCCCTAGTGAATACTACTAGAAAAGAAGCATGTTTGTACAAAAAGATTATGAATTGGAGATTTTGGCAAGTTCCGTTTGAGATGGCTCTGGGACCTCAAAGAAGAGGTAGCATATAGCAGTTCAGTTGATCTGAGCTAAATATAAATCTGTGTGGACTTTTGCATAGCAGTGAAGCATTGGTTCTTTCAGATGTTACTAACTCCCAGCAAACATCATGGTAACTTAATTCAACCTAAATATTTGTTGATCATCTTCAGAATAGGTGTTGTAGGTGTGGTAAGGATATTTTTATTATTGTTTTATGGCTTCTGAAGAGAATATATGCCCATTTTGAAAAAATCTGAACTGTACAGAAAAGCATAAAGAAAACCACAAGCCAGGCATAGTGGCTCACACCTGTAATCCCAGCACTCTGAGAGGCTGAGGCAGGAGGATCACTTGAGCCCAGGAGTTCGAGATCAGCCTGGGCAACATAGGAAACCCTGTCTCTACAGAAAATTTAAAAAAACTATCGAGGCATGGTGTATGTGCACACCTACGATCTCAGCTACTCGGGAAGCTAAGGTAGGAGGATCACTTGAGCACAGGAGGTTGAGACTGCATGAGTTGAGATGGTGCAACTGCACTCCACCCTGGGCAACAGGAAGACCTTGTCTAAGGCATCACAAATAAATATATGGAAAACTGTTTAGGGTATGTTAAGTGGGGTGGGTGGGGCAGGGCGAATAGAATATATAACTGAGTGTGCCCAGTAAAGAGATACACAAGAAGTCCCATGCTCTAAAGCTAACAAATACAAGGCATGCTGAATCAGAAAAGAAAAATAGTTCTATTTTATGGGATTACCATAATTTATTTATTTGAGTCGTTCTTATTCTACATATTGTTGCTATGAATATCACCGTATAAGTAAATCTTATCTATATTTTTACTATTATCTTGGGCTTTTCTAGGAGAAGAATTGTTAGATAAAGGTATGAGGAATATTGCATCAGAGAATATTCTTCATGTTACCCGTGTGCTTAGAAATTATTTTTCCTGATCCAGCAAGTCTTGCATCTCTTGGTTTCAGAGGATGGTATTTCTTATGTATGTCTTTCTGTGCACATTCAGTTGAGTGGTTTTTGGTTTAACTCCTGATGGAGATTTCAGATTTTTGAATTAAGTATAAGCTTTGTGTAATGCTTCCATAAACCTAACAGTATTTTAGCGTCTAGCAAAAAACCTAGGGCAGAATAGATGCTCAATAAATATAAATGGAATTGGAATTGAATTTCAGATTTAAGAGCCCATACAATCTGTATTTTTAATTCATGGAAGGCTTATGTGCTGTGTAATGTCTGTAGAAATGCTTCTGCAAAATAGTAATGAAGTAATAGAGTTATTCTCAGTGTACTTCCTTTTTCTCTTTTCAGATCTTTTTGGGTTAGTGGTCTTTCTTGGTATTGAACCTTATTGTGTCAAACACTGGTGGGTTCGACTTCTCTATCGGCCTTACTGCAAGAAGAATCCTCAGCATCTCTACAGCTTTATTGCCAAGATACTGTGGAGGTCGGCAAAGAAAGATGTGATTGACCAAGTCAGTACAATAAGCTTTTATTGATAAAGGTACTATAAGATAAAAGAAGCAATTGGGATGAAAGTTAAATTTTTAGGTGAAATCTTTTTTTTTCTGCTCCTTTTTACAGATCCAAATACCACCACAAACTGAAGAAATACACTGGCTCCACTTCTCTCCAGTAGAAAGGCATTTCTATCACCGTCAGCATGAGGTGTGCTGCCAGGATGCGGTGGTAAAACTCAGGAAGATTTCTGACTGGGCTCTGAAGCTCAGCAGCCTGGACAGAAGGACCGTCACCTCTATCCTGTATCCATTGCTGAGGCTCAGACAGGCCTGCTGCCACCCACAGGCTGTTCGTGGGGAGTTCTTGCCACTTCAAAAAAGGTTTTATTATCAACTTTTTTATATTGCAGTTGATATAATAGATAATATTTCTGGCCATAGTTTCATTCAGAGTCATGTAACTGAGTTGTCAGTTATTTTTAATAGTGTGGGGGTTTTCTTTGTTATGGAACCTCATTTGCAATGGAGAATTATATCATCAAAATAATTATTTTCATGGTTTTGAGTATTTCTCTTTTACAGTGGGTTTTTTTGTTTTTTGGTACTTTTTCGAGACAGGATCTCACTCTCTTTCCGACTGGAGTGCAGTGGTGTGATCCTAGCTCACAGTGGCAGCCTCAAATTCCTGGGCTCAAATGATCCTTCTGCCTTAGCCTCTCAAGTAGCTAAGACTACAAGTGCAACCACTACAGCCAGCTAATTTTTTATTTTATGTTTGTGTGGGGTTTTTGTTTTTTTGTTTTGAGACAGAGTTTTGCTCTTGTCACCTAGGCTGGAGTGGCACAATCTTGGCTCACTGCAGTCTCCACCTCCCGGGTGCCAGTAGTTCTGCCCAGCCTTCCAAGTAGCTGGGATTATAGACATGTGCCACCATGCCTGGCTAATTTTATATTTTTAGTAGAGGCAGTGTTTCATTCTGTTGATCAGGCTAGTCTCGAATTCCTAACCTCAGGCAGCCCATTTCCCTCAGCCTCCCAAAGCGCTGGGATTACAGGTGTGAGACACCGCACCCAGCCTATTACATGTTTTTTAGAGATGGAGCCTCGCTATGTTGCCTGAGCTGATACTGAACACCTGGCCCCAAGTAGTCCTCCTGTCTCAGCCTCCCAAATTTTTGAGTTGACAGGCATTAACCACCACACCTGGTCTTAAACACTTCTGTTAAAATTAGGATTATTATTGAGGGTTTTTAAATTATTATTTTGTTAGGGTTTTGGCATACTCCAGATATGAAAGGCTTTTATTCTTATTTCATAGTTCCCACATCGGGGAATTAGATTACCGTGAAATATTTTCTATCTCTCTGATTATTCATTCGGAGAACATTAAGAAATTTGTGTTCATAATACTCTATTGTCCCAGAACCTTTTTGTGAATCAGACTGCAACTCAGGAACTGCCCTTTGGTTATATAGCTAGAAAGAGGATTCAATTTTGTCTTTGCTTTTAAGCAGGTTATAGGCAAATAAAGGAAATGGCAGAAATTAACATTTCTAAAATATGAAGTGAAAATGTAAATCTGCTGTGTGCATTTAGAGTTTGAAAACTATATATGAATGGTTAAGTTTAGACAGCCTTTTGGTGCAAATGGCATTTAACCTGATCCTTAGAGGATCTTCATTTTTAACTGATTAAAAAAATATTCAGGCTCGGACCGGGCATGGTGGCTCACGCCTGTAATCCAAGCACTTTGGAGGCCAAGGCGGGTGGATCACCTGAGGTCGGGAGTTCAAGACCAGCCCGACCAACATGGTGAAACCCCATCTTTTAAAAAAATAAAATAATTTTTAAAAAATATTCAGGCTCAAAGAGGTTTTTCAATTACATTGCAGTGTTGGGATTCAGAATCAGTCTTACATTTTAATATCTGTAATATTTCAGATATATCATGTTGTACTTTGTACTTGAGTAAGATTTTTATAGTTCCATTCTGCCTTTACTGAAATGGGAAAAACTCAAAGCATGATGTGATCAAATAGAGGTGCTTATGCGGGAAAAAATAATGGTAAAACTGGAGGCAAAAAAAAATGCTAGAGATCTCATAAAGATTGTAAGACTCACATACTCTTGATGATGTGTGATGTAACACTTCCACCGAAGTAACACTTGGGATTTTCTTTCTAGTTTTGAACAGTTTGCTTTTTCTTTTAGCACCATGACAATGGAAGAGCTGCTCACATCTTTGCAGAAGAAGTGTGGGACTGAATGTGAAGAAGCCCATCGACAGCTAGTTTGTGCCCTCAATGGCTTAGCAGGCATTCATATTATTAAAGGTAGAAGGTGATTACTTTGTTATTTCTGATTCTTCCAAACACTTCCTGAGGAAGGTTAATTATAGAAAATGTCAAAGTCCTCCCCAAAAAGATACTCTCATACACTACTGATTATAGTTTAAATAGGTTCAACTTAATACAGAGCAGTTTCATAGAACATTTCAAAAACTTTCAAAGTTTACATATGATTTATTTCCATTTTTAGAAAAAAAATTTTTTTTTTTTTTTTTTTTTTGAGACCAGAGTCATGCTCTGTCACCAGGCTGGAGTGTAGTGGTGCAGTCTTGGCTCACTGCAACCTCTTAGGTCTAATATTCTGGGTTCAAGCAATTCTGCCTCAGCCCCCACCGAGTAGCTAGGACTACAGGCACCTACCACCACACCCAGCTATTTTTTTGTATTTTCATAGAGACAGAGTTTCACCGTGTTGGCCAGGATTGTCTAGATCTCCTGACCTCAGGATCTGCCCAGCGAGGCATTCCAAAATCCTGAGATTACAGGCGTGAGCCACTGCGCCTGGCCCCTAGAAGTTCTTTTTTAAGGAAATGAGGATACAAAGATGTGTTTTTAAATTGTTCATCTTAGTCTTTAACAGTAAACAAATGTAAACAACCAGCATGGTTAGAAATAGAAGAATGGTTAAATTTTGACACATTTAAGGAATTATTATTTATTGATTTAAAAATCATAAGTGTTTCTAGGATCATTTTTCCAGCAAATATTTGTGTGCCACACCTGATCCAGGTAACAATGATACAGTAAATAAAGTAATTATCTGATCTTGCAGACCTTAAATTCTTACAGAGGATGACAAGTACACACTCACCCTCCCATATACACACAAAATGTATGTGTGTAAAGTTATAGTGTTATGCACAAAAATAAAACAGATTATTTACTTGGTGGCTTCCCCATCTCTCAGGGATCACTCTTTTTTTGTGTTATGCCTAATATCTTACAAACTGTCATTTCATGTATTTTGTCTGTTATTGTAGTTTTTATAGGGAGGAGAGTAAATCCATTCTCTGTTACTCTATCTTGGCTGGAAGCAGAAGTTATATAACTGGCACTTTTAATAAACACCATATAGACGCCTTTCCATATAAATATGAGAAACATTAAAAATGTATTCCATAGGTTCAGGAGTGTAGATTAAGCATGTTAAGTAGAAACATTGAAAACATACAATCAAACTTCTAGAAATTTCAATGTCAAATATGAAAAAATTCACTTAAATAGATTAGATATCACCTAAGAAAAAAATCAACAAAGTCAAATTATAGAATAGTAAAGAAACTTGCCAACATGAAAAACAAAGGACGAAGACTGAAAATTTTGAAAAGAGCATCAGTGAAGTTGTGGACAACTTCAAATGGCCTAATATAAATGTGTTGGAGTCACCAAAGAGGAAAAACAGGAAGAAATATATTGTGGGTTTTATATCATGTAGATGTACAATGTGCAAAAACAAAAAGTCTGGGGAAGCATGGATGTATACTGTTGTAAGATTATTATGGTATATAATAAGAGGTAAAATATTACCTGAAATTAGACTGTTACAAAAGGAAAATGTGCATCCTACACGGTCACCACTTCAGAATACAACAAAGAGTTAGAGGTAATAATCCAAAAGAGTAGATAAGAAGATAATAATAAAAAAATCGACTGGGCACGGTGGCTTGGGAGGCCAAGGTGGACGTATCACAAGGTCAGGAGATCAAGACCATCCTGGCCAACATGGCGAAACACCATCTCTACTAAAAATACAAAAATTAGCTGGGTGTTTTGGTGCACACTTGTAGTCCCACCTGCTCGGGAGGCTGAGGCAAGAGAATCACTTGAACCCAGGAGGCAGAGGTTGTAAGCTAAGGTCATGCTGCTGCACCCCAGCCTGGCAACAGAGTGAGACTCTGTTTCAAAAAAAAAAAAAAAAAAAAATTAAAAATCTTCAATCTTAAAAAAAACATAAAGGAAAAAATGGGGCAAAAAACAGACGAGTTGATTAGAAAACAAACAGCAAGATAGTAGATCAGCTTATCAGTGGTCATATAAGATGTAACGGTCTAAATATCCCAATTAAGAGTCCTGGATTGTCAGACTGTATTAAAAAACAATAATCCTCAATATGCTCTCTATAAGAAGCCTGCTTTATATTTAAAGATGTAAATATAAGAGGATAAAAAAAGATATGTTAACACTAATCAAAAGAAAGATAAAGCCACTATATTCCTATTAAGTAAAATAGATTTCTTATTAATACTGCCTGCTAACCGATTGTACCACTGGAGCTTCTTAAGTAGATTTCAGAGCAAAGAATATTATCAATGATAAAGGATGTTACTTTATCACTAGAGAAAAAAATTCTAAATATTAATGTACCTAAAACAAGAGTTTCAAAATAAATATTGAAAACTGATAGAATTATATTGAGAAATAAACAATAATTATTGTCAGATATTTCTACATCCCTCTCTCAGTTGTGTAGAATAAGTAGAAAATAAGTGAGGACATACATAGCTCAAACAACACTGTCACCAATATATCTAATCAGTGTTTATTGAATACTTTACCCAACCAAAGAAGAATACACTCTGTTTTCAAGTACGTGTCAAATGTATATCAAGATAGGGCATATTCTGGGCTATAAAACAAGTCAGTAAATTTCAAAGAATTCATGCCTACAGAGTGTGTTCTATGCCCACAGTGGTAGATACCAATAACAGAAGGATAACTGGAAAGTCCCCAAATACTTTGAAATTAAGTAACACACTTTTAAATCTTTGGGTTAAAAGTAAAAGGGAAGGTAGGAGGTATTTTGAGTTAAATAAAAATGAAATATCAAAATTTGGGGGAGGCAGCAAATCAGTAATTAAGAAATTTATAGCACTAGATATGTACTAGAAAAGAAAGTTTCAAATTGGAGACTTCCGCTGCTACCTTAAGAAATTTAAAAAAGAGCAGATGAAGTACAAAGAAATCAGTTACCCAAAGAAATGTGTGCTTTTTGTAGAATATAAGGAAATATTCTTACATTAAGCCTCGTTGAGTAGCCTGTCTTTAGTTGTTAGCTCTTTAGCGTAAGAGAACCAGAAATGGAAAGTGACTCTTACTGTGCTAGATACTTGAATAGAGTTATAAGGATTCTCAGAAGCTGAGTAGAAATAGCTCTAGACAAGAACTGAAAAGGATTGTCCTTCTTACATGTTGCAGTTGGAACCCTGTGAAATGGAGTATATTAGTCAAGATTTCCGAACCTCTGTGTCTTTGTCAATAAAACATACAGGTGCTTTTTACTTGCTTCAACTATCGTTCTTAATACAAAATGTGGAAGCATATTGAAAACTTTATAAAAACATATAGATGAAGAATTACATTATTGATTATAATAATATGAAGGTTACCTTAGATTCTTACCACTTTCTACCTGCTCACAATGTAAATTCTGTTATCAATAACTAGTAATAGAAAAGGGCATATTATTATATATTCCTGTTAAATTGTTCACATATAATGCATGTTACTTTGTGAGCAAATCTTCCCTCTAGGACACTCCCTAGAAAGTCCTCAAGTAAGCTAGCAGCGTTTGCAAGTTTGCATTTTCTCTAACAGTTATTATCATCATGGTCATCTTAGTTGCTAACCTTGTCCTGTGACTATGTGATAGTCTAGATATCAATCTAAAGTCTAAAAAAATTTTTTGCTTTACAATCCATAGTGAAAAACTAAACAAGGCAACTATTTTAATAGAGTTTTTTTTTTAATCAAGGTTTTCTATTTATCAGTGTGGAAATAATTAGGCAAAAATTGGGAAAATACGTGTCATATCTAATACCAGTTTCTCCCAGTGCCAAATTAATTGAATAGTCATGATTAAACTCAATAGACTACTTGACTATTGCAGATGAGAAATGTGTTCTTGTCCTTGAAAATACATGAATAATGAACATATTTAAAATATTTTCAGGTCATTAAAAATGTAGCTTTATACCTGAGAAATACTGTCTAAGATTTTTATGTTATACGTAACACTTTCATGTATTTATGCTATTTTATCATTACAAGTGCCCAGAGATTGAGGTATTATCCACATTTCACTTAGGAAACTGAGTTCCAGAAAAGCTTAGTTGCCTTCTTGAGATTTTAGTTAATTGACAGAATGTGCCCTGAATCTTTTTATTTCAAATCAAATAATACTTTTTTATTATAAACCTCAATATTGTGCTGTCTATAGTAGGTTAAAACTCATAGTCAAAAATTTTTGAAATGGAATAATACAGTAGTTGTAGATTGTCAGAATAATAAAAATAAATTTCAATTTTCCCATCTTGATTTTAAAATTGCATTCCTCATTTTATTCTGTTATGGTTCAGAAGCTTAGACAGTGAGTGAATTTCCTCCCTTGGCTTTTTCTTCTTGTCCCCTTTTCATATTTACTTTCCCCTGATCTGTAGTTATATATAATATGAGGACCAGGAAAAAGGGTTCCTCCTCTGATTATTTACCATCACAGTTGCACCCTATCAGGGTCAACATATAATAAGCTTCTATGTCAAAATACTACACTGTTGCATAACAGAAGCTACATCATTGCTCTTTTCTTTCTGTGTGTGAAACTACAGAAAACAATTGCTGGTTACCAAGAGAAATATGCTACCAAAAGTCCATTAATAGAGGATATGTTCCTGCTGAATTTAATTGTAATTTTCAACCTAAGAGTAATAGATTTGCTGCTTTTAGTTTTCATTAACTTCATAGTGATGTGTTAAACAATATTCATTTTTTAAAGTAACATTACATATGTAACTTACATAAATTAGATTCTTCTAATGTGAAGATCAGACAGTGAAGGTCTGCCTTTTAAAAGAAATTAAAATTAATTTTAAACTATAAAAAAGATGTGCTCATATATGAATAAATACATATGATACGTTAATCCGTATTTTGAGATTCTCCTTGACTGGTATTAAACACACTAGATTATTCTAATTTTGAACAATGTGTTTTCTCCAGATGGTTTTTATAGAAAATCAGTTTGGCAGTATTAAATCCACTGCAGTTTACTTAGAAATGTTAGCACCACCAAGTGGCCAAGAATGAGTATTTCCAAATTTGTCTTAAACCTTTGTAATATTGAATGAGTATTTTTGTTTCTTCCTCAGAAAGCATGTCTTTTTAAAAATAAACATGGAAAACCAAGTATCATAGTGAATAGATCAAATTCACCTGCTTTACATTAGAGCCTAATCACTATACCTTCTTTAAAAGGTATGGTAATTATGAAGAGAAAATGGTTTAATGAATTATTCTCTATATATGATAGTATAAATACTGATAGATTTCATAATGTCTTTTGAAAGCTTTAATAAGACTCTTAACTAAAAAAGAGAACTCACTGTGAAGTTAATTTAGTGTTAATGCCTATATTATAATGTAACTATTGTAAAAATAATCTCCCTTATTAAAGGAAATAGAAATTGGCTGACTCTACAGTTGTTTGAAAATGTGTGTTTTAGAAAGCTTTGTATTAGATAACTAATAGAATTAGATATAAAGCAATGATATAAGAACTATTGTTTCAAAAACAATTTTTAAATCAGGTGTTTTGCACAACACTGAATATACATAATGCCAGTGAACTGCACACTTGAAAAAGGCTAAGGTGGTAAATTTTATGTAGATTTTACCAAAGTTAAGATATGTATGTATACTTAAATATGAACTAAGAAAAGAACCAACTTCAAAATTTACAAAGGTTTGCATATGTATGTATAAAATGAGCTTTATATCTATATACACATAAATATATATGAGCTTTATATATATATATATATATATATACACACACACACACACACACACACACATAATTAGGCCCATATATATATATACATATATATATATATATATATGGGCCTAATTATGTGATATTCGTAAAACAAGCTTGAAGTTTTCTTTAAAAGCAAGTATGTGTGATACTTAGGAAAAACTTTCTTAGCAAATAAGTAGAACATTTCTACACATTTTTTTGGTATTGATTGCATGGTTTTGCCGCTGTTAATTTTTACTTTATTAGTATTTATAATTTACCTGTTTCGAATTTTCCAAACAACAATTAAGATAGATTAAAAATGTTCGTCTCTCCTTCTATTAAGGTATCATCAAGCTTTCTCTGTAAAGAAGCAGATAATAGTTTAGGCATTGCAAACCATAAGGTCTCTGTGCAGCTATCAGCTCAGCTGTTGTAGTACAACAGCAGCACAGGCAGTACAAAACAAATGAGCAGAGCCGGGTTCTAATAAAACTATTTATGGACCCTGAAGTTTAATTTTCACATGTCACAAAATATTTTTTTCAAATTTTTCAGCTGTTTAAATATGTTAAATTCATTTTAAGCCGATGGGCCCAACAGAAATGCAGAGAGAGAGTAGAAATGACCCATGGGTCATACTTTGCCAGCCTGTGCTTTAATTGACACTTTTTGAATTGCTGTATTTAAATGAGCTGGTAATTATGAACAGCAGAAACAGCATACATCTCAGACTCACTATGATTTGTGTGACCAAAAGTAGAGAGGAGATCCCTAAATTTTTGACATGAAACTTAATTGCAAACTATTTGGCCTAATACCAAGAACAATAATAGCAACCAAGAATAGTATATTATTTTTCTGATGATTATGTGTAGGTTGGTTGGAGTGTCTTAAATATTTGTTTATAAATAGTCTATAATAATTACCTTAAATATATCCTGATTTTCAAACATCACAGTTACTACTGATTGGCACCTATTAATTTTAGCAAGAGGAAATATTTTTTTGTCTAAATTAAAAGTTTATTCAGTAGCATAATCTTAAAGCATTACAAATAGGTTTAATTATAAACATTTTAGTATAATTTTAAAACATTACAAATGTAATATAAGAACATTGTATTCCGTGGAATTAAAAAAGGAACTGTACTCAGCTTTTTTTAAAACTAGGACGGTCATTAATACCAAGTCAAATTGCTTTACTTACAACAATAGTTATATTCATTATGTTGTATGTTTACAGTATTCTTAAATAATCGACAATTAGATGACATTGGGAGCTAAATATGTGACTCTCTTACACTTTAAATACATTTTAATTCTTTAGGTGAGTATGCCTTGGCAGCAGAATTGTACAGAGAAGTGTTGCGCTCGTCAGAGGAACACAAAGGAAAGCTGAAAACTGATTCACTTCAAGTAAGTAAACACTAAACAGTTTCATATGTATTCTGTTTTATTTTTTAAACAAAATAATTTTTCTGAATAAGAGGATAAATGGTAACAAATAGTCATAATCACTGAGGACGCAATTTGGGATTCAGTCTTCTCAATAAGCATTTTAAGTGATTTGTATATACACTAACATTTGAGAATCACTACTGTTCCATTCAGGGAAGTTTTGGGCACAAGCCTGACAAGGTTATTCCATGTAAGCTACATTTAAAAATAGCTCCAGATACAGGTACTTGAAAGAGTAGGTCAGTTTTATCACTTTTGCTTATGAATATCAACATATTTATTCACATGGTTTTCGTTAATAAGAAAAGGAAGTAAGCAATAAAATTTACCTAATGATAATTTTTAGAGGTCTTTAGGGAGATTTGGACATTTTAATTATAGCACTTGTTTCTCTTTCCCTTCTTTAGTCTGTCATTGACTCATATAGAAAAGACTCTCTAGCTAAATAGGAAGTAAAGATAGTTTTATTCATTTTGGCAAGTTTAGGCTTGAGTCCCAGGTAAGATGTCATTAACATTCAGACTGGGGAGTAGCATGTCCAGTGTACCACAGTGGGTTTTTAGAGAAACATATGGAAAATTGGAAGGTGAGGAAAAATTGAATATAAGTCTTTTTTTTTTTTTTTTTTTTTTTGAGATGGAGTCTCGCTGTGTCACCGAGGCTGTAGTGTAGTGGCATGATCTCGGCTCACTGCAACCTCCACCTCCCTGGTTCAAAGGATTCTCCTGCCTCAGCCTCCCAAGTAGCTGGGACTACAGGCGTGCACCACCACATCTGGCTAATTTTTTCTTTTGCATTTTTAGTAGAGACGGGGTTTCACCGTGTTAGCCTGGATGGTCTCGATCTTCTGACCTCGTGATCTGCCCGTCTTTGCCTCCCAAAGTGCTGGGATTACAGGTGTGAACCACTGCTCCTGGCCATAAATCTTATATTCTGCATGGATAAGGGTTACAAAAGGCAGGTCCTAGACTTTTAATACCCTGCTCTTGAGTAAAGAAAACAAAGCGGTAGTACTCAGATTGTTTTATAGGAAAAGTATTTAGTGATATGTTCTTAATGTGCTGTTAGTGTTCTGTGCGCCTTATTAATATTAGGTTCTCTTCAGAGTCTTCTGCATTGACTGTCATAATTATTGCCTTTGATGTGTTTGTAGAGACTTCATGCCACCCATAACTTGATGGAATTGTTGATAGCCAAGCACCCAGGGATACCTCCTACCTTGCGTGATGGTCGACTTGAGGAAGAGGTCATTATTATTTTTTTCATTCTGTCTATAAAAGTATATTATCTTCAGACTTTATGCTCCATGTATATCGTAGGACATACAACATTTAAATAAATGTAATCATGTTTTCCTATTGCTTTGATGTTTCAGATTTTGTTGTTGTTTTAGGTGGCAGAGAATGGCAGCAGTATGTATTATTTGGCTTCTCTGCTGATTTACCTGCAGTTATGTGATAAATGCTTGTTGTAGATATGGCTGTTGGTAGCCAACAGACGGAATGTAATTAAGTTTTAAAAAGGAAACTTTGATCTCATGGCAGGTCTACAAAAGATATAGCTTAGTAAATATATAAACTTTTGCTCTTTCTCCACCTTTATGTGTATTTTTAAAGGCGGTAAGTTTTTGGTAAGTTTTAAGTTCTCTCAAAGAGTTTCCTCTACAAAAAGTGTTGACTCTTACTAAAAAGAATGATATTGAAAAGAGTGATATAGTAAATTATTTTACTGTAAATTGTTAATAGCTTTTTATGCAGATTCTTCTGGGGATTTTTGCTTTTTTTAAGCATTAAAGAGCTAAAATCAAAAGAGTATGTGTGCTTGAAATGTATCAAACCTGAAGTGGAACCTTTATATGTATCAACAAGGTAAAAAATGAGATGTATAAGTTTGCACAGCCTATTTGCACTGGTTGTTTTGGGGGCTAAAGAGGCCTGGCAAACTATTTTAATTGACAAAAATTTTACATATTTATGTTTTAGAAAGTGATGTTTTGATATATGTGGACACTGGAATAGCTGAATCAAACTAACATAACCATTACCTCACACTTATTTTTTTGTAGTGAGAACATTTAAAATCTATTTTCTTAGAGCATCAGCGTATGAATTTTGGGGAAACAAAATTCAGTCCCTAACACCTGTATTACTGTATATTCTAAAGGATTATTTTTAAACTGCAGTAACTCTAATAAATTGTAACAAATTTTAGCCAAATTTGTTAATAAATTAGCCAAATTTTAGAAAGGTGTGCCTTCTTTGCTTATTCTAACGAAAAAATATTAATTTAAATAAAAATTTGTCAAACAAATCTTTGAAATTTCTTAAATTTTGTTACTTGGACAGGTAAAGTTTGTTAACTTCCATACATAAGGAATTTTTAGCATGACTTCTATGTTCTCTACAGTATACTTGTAGTTTTATGTTTAAATGAAGTAGCTTTAAATATACTAAATGACCCATTCTTGAAACATCATACTACATTATGTTCTAGATCAGGAGTGAAGGTTTATATTTTCTGTTTCAACACAGGCCAAACAGCTGCGAGAGCACTATATGAGCAAGTGTAATACAGAAGTTGCTGAAGCCCAACAAGCTTTATATCCTGTGCAGCAGACCATCCATGAGCTTCAAAGAAAGGTACCCCACAATGCAGTGTTTCTTACCTGTGTTTGCCTGCAGATAACAGTTTTGGTTTTGTTTTTTTTGTGGGGAGAAATTTGAATTTCTTTTTTTTTTTTTTTCGTGGCGGTGTGATTTGCTGCCTTCCTCCCCACCACCTACATCTGGTATCTCTCCCCTTGCTATCTCTCCCCAACTCCTTGGAATTCTTAGCACCTAGTACATTGCCTGACTCACAATACAAGTTATTTACTGTTAACAATGATTATTGGTTGAATGAACAGATGCTAGATAAGTCAGCTATTTTGAGATTCTCTTTATTTTGAACTCTTACGGGTTTTCTCTTACCGTGAGTATATAACAGTTGTCTTTTGAAGAAAGTAAAGACTTCTATAACCTCCTTTTGATTTTTGTTTCTGAGTTGTTTTAAGATGTTAAAACATTAGAACCGTAGGTGTTTTTACTGCAGAATATATACCATTTGTCATTTCTAAAATTTCTCTTTTATGAAATCAGTAGCAAAATTTAAAGAGGTTACACAAATACACTTTTATTTTCAATTTTTAAATCAGGTATTGTAAATTTTTGTCTTCCTAATTCATTAATTATTTACTATCCTGGGAAATAATTTTGTTAGCTATTGTAGATTATTCATTAAGTAGAATCTAGTTCAATTAGTTAAAGATTAGAATGAAGGCTTTCCTTCTTATGCTGTTAAAGAGACCTGTGACCTTTTCACATATAAAGAATTTTTTTAGTTACAGCTTTGTTATATAAGTCCAAACAATAAATTCTTATTTATCCAGAGAAGTTAGAATATATGTGTTCTCTTTAATTATGTTTTCAAAAGAGGAAGTGAGCATTGTACATGGAATATGTATACTCATCTCCCCTCTGTGTAGTCTCTTTGAGAATAGCATTTATTATTTTATTTGAATTTTGACATCACCCTTCCCAGAAATGGAAGCCTAGAGTACTAAAAAAAATCTATTAATTGATTAACTGCTACCTTTTTTGCAGATTCATTCTAATTCTCCTTGGTGGCTAAATGTGATCCACAGAGCAATAGAATTTACTATTGATGAGGAGCTTGTTCAACGAGTGCGAAATGAAATAACCAGCAACTACAAGCAGCAAACTGGCAAGCTTTCTATGTCAGAGAAGTAAGAAAATATGAAGAAAAAGTATCTACTCATAACTTTTATAGCAAAGAAATCCTCCTTGTATTTTCTAGTTTCTAATTTCTTATTATTCTTGGCTTTCTTTCTCCTTTCATAAACGTATACACATACATTCATACTTCTTTTTTTGCAACCCTCTTTATTCACAGTTTATAAAAATGGTTATGGGTCTATAATTGGATTTAACTCCTGCCACATACCTCTGTTACTTTAGTTACTTTAATATTTTACACTTCATAATGTGAGCATTCGTAACTAATGAAATTACACAGGAAAAGTGTGTGCCAAAGGTCACAATTACAGATTTAATTAAGTATATCTACATATACACACACATATATATATATTTTTTCAACCAAGGAATATAATTCTTAGCCATTTTTCTTCTTTCCAGTTTTCTGCTTTTATGTTATGTTTCGTCCTGCAGGCATCTCCTCTTAAAGAGCAAGGATGTCAAGAGGGCCATCTGTAGTCAGGTTTAAAACAGAAGAATATGGTCATCCTGCTCTTTCAAGGATATCTGAGATAGAGACATACATTTTTCATGCTCTTTTTCAGTTCCTGAGTAGAGGACTATCAAATTTTTTGGTATCTTTTATAGTAGACACCCCAGTATTATACTTTGAATGCACTCTGAAGGAAAACTCACTCAAATGTGGCTGGTTAAAAAAACAAAAACAAAAACAGGCCGGGCGCAGAGGTCAAGAGATCAAGACCCTGGTCAACATGGTGAAACCCCGTCTCTACTAAAAGTACAAAACAAAAAAAAATTAGCTGGGCATGGTGGCACGTGCCTGTAGTCCCAGCTACTCAGGAGGCTGAGGCAGGAGAATTGCCTCAACCCAGGAGGCGGAGGTTGCGGTGAGCCGAGGTCGCGCCATTGCACTCCAGTCTGGGTAACAAGAGCAAAACTCCGTCTCAAAAAAAAAAAAAAAAAAAAAAACAGCAAACAGTTTCTTTAACACTTTGCTTGGCAACCATCTTCTGAATCTCAGGAAATAGACCATTATTCTTTTCTTTGTGTTGTCTGTGGTGCTGATGGGAATCAGGTTCCATGATTGCAGAGGTCTTCAGTTCCTACTTACAACACAAATGGAAGAGCTAAATAAATGCCAGAAGCTAGTAAGAGATGCTGTAAAAAACCTGGAGGGACCTCCATCTCGTAATGTTATTGAGTCTGCAACAATCTGCCACCTCCGACCAGCCAGGCTTCCTCTCAACTGGTAGGTAATAGAAGAAATCATACAATGACATGGTATCATTTCTTTAAGCTAGATTTCTTAGAGAAGAAACAATTGACCCATATAATAAAGGTTTTTTCATTTTAATTGAGGCAGAAGTAGAAAGAGATATATTATTAATCTTATTTAGAGAAAAAATCATAAGGACAATGTATGATAAACCATGTGATTTTTTTTTTCTAAAATGGCATATCTAGTATAATGAAAAATGAAGTCAAAATACTAAGCGTCTCCTTAAAATTACCAGATTGCTGATTATGTTTGTGAATATTTCTCTATTAATCTCTTTTTTCCAGCTGTGTCTTTTGTAAAGCTGATGAATTGTTCACAGAGTATGAATCAAAGCTATTTTCCAACACGTAAGTTTTCTATTTGATTATGTTACCCATCATGAAAGTGAAACATTTTGTAAGACTCAGTATCAAAGACTATATTTTCTCCACAGTAACCTTTATTATATTGTTTCTTTAATTAAATTGATTAGTACTTTGGAAATTTGATTGTTTAATATTCCCAGTTTTACCTACCCAGAAGTTACCCACTAAATGTTCATGATGTAGTAATTTATAATTAATTGAGGTGCAGTTTTGGGGAGTGGTAAAATCCCAGACTCTAGAGTCAAGTGGATTTGAATTATACAGGTTTTGCTAGCATTTTACTATTCTTCAAGGAAGAACTCATAATGTCCAGTATAACTTCTTCAAGAATAAAGTGACACAATCAGCTATGTTATTACTTTAATAAAACCATAAGCAAACCTTGTCACAAACACCTGGATTCTCAGAGTGAAGCTTGTTAGAATAATAAATGTGTCTACTTTCATCCTGGTATTTCACCATTCTTTCTATTTTAGGTCAAATCTGTTTTTGTTACTACTGAAGTAAATAATACATTTCTTCATGTTTCTATCCAAATTATGTTTATTCATCTCCAACAGATACAATTTCTCTAAAATAGAAATTCTCCCCACATATTTCCTCGCCATGTATTCACTTCTGTATGTCAAGGAAGAAAACAAGATTTTTGTGTTGTGTTATGGTGAATAGTCTTTCTATTTATGACTGCTGACATAATAGAATTAAAAAAAAAAAAAAAACTGGCCAAATTTATGTTTTCAGCTTTTTCAGGGTTGTCTTGGTTTTTCCAAAGACTTGCAAACATGTTCTTTTAGACCTTACATTGAAAGTTGTTGAAAAGTTACTGACCTTGCTTCTGTATTTGTTTTGCTAATATCACTCATTTACAGTGCTTCTTACTCACTGATAGCAGTTAACGTTGTTTTGTTCTGGTATGTTTTCAGAGTCAAAGGCCAGACTGCAATATTTGAGGAGATGATAGAAGATGAAGAAGGACTGGTGGATGATCGAGTACCTACCACAACCCGGGGTCTCTGGGCAATAAGTGAGACAGAGCGATCTATGAAAGCAATACTATCATTTGCAAAATCACATAGATTTGATGTTGAATTTGTTGATGAAGGCAGCACTTCAATGGATCTCTTCGAAGCATGGAAGAAAGAATATAAGGTATAGTATTTTAAAATTTCCTTCCAATATTAAAAATTCTCCTTTTTTACATGAATTTTAATTGCTACTTTTCTTTTTCTCTCTCTAGTTTTGTATACTCTTCTTTAGAGATGGAGGTGGCATAAGTTCTCTTTGCCTAAAATTTAATTGTTGTAATAAAGGATAGAAAAGACTGTAATACTCAAAGACATTCTGTTTATTAAATTACTAAAAGAAAATCATTATTAAACTGAAACTTATATGAAACTTTTTGTTTAGCTGGGAATGTGTTTCATACTATTATTAGCTTTATCTTTCACTGCTATTGTTTGAAATTAATGTTTTGTTTTGTTTTAGTTCTGTGAATAACAGGCAATCAACAGCCTTAAAGATTCAGGAACATAGTAAATACTTCTCATCCTATAAGTCTGGAAACTGTTCCAATGAATAAAGCACAATGTGCCCTTTCATATTTGTACTTTAATAATTCCATCATATTATAAATCTGTACTTGAGATTCCACAATTCATTAATTTTGAATTATTGTTTTATTTGGATAGGTTATCCATTGTCCTGCTTTACAGGTGAGATAGGTAGAGGAAGGAAAGAAGTGTTTCATTTATAATGTCATAATCTTATTCAATATCTTTTAAAAGTCCCTTTTAAAGTAGGATAAAAATTTTTTGCAGAAAGATAGTTATTTGTACTATCAGTTGATATGCCATAAATTGGGGAATACTTTTAAAATATCGAAATCATTGCTTCATAATAATTTTTTTCTCACACATTACTCTTGTGAATAGAAAGCACATTAACACAGTTAATTACTGTAAGCCATGGAAGAAGACAGTGTTATGTATAATGTGCAGTTGCCCCTATATTCTTTTTTTGGACTCAGTTTGACCACATGCCTTTTGTCCAGAGGAGAGCTTATTGTGCAGTTCTCCCAGATCTTTGTACATTTTGTTCTGCATAACTTTACAGACCTTTTCACAGAAAAGCAATTGAATGAGCTCCTACTATACGTATTTACCAGATCTACCTCAAAATGTAAAGTTAGTGAAGAGAGGCTGTCAAAAAAAATGCATGCTGATTGATACTATTTCTGTGAATTTCAGAAACATGTATAATAACTCAATTATTAAGAATATGTTTCACGGGCCGGGCGCGGTGGCTCAAGCCTGTAATCCCAGCACTTTGGGAGGCCGAGGCGGGTGGATCACGAGGTCAAGAGATCGAGACCATCCTGGTCAACATGGTGAAACCCCGTCTCTACTAAAAATACAAAAAATCAGCTGGGCATGGTGGCGCGTGCCTGTAATCCCAGCTGCTCAGGAGGCTGAGGCAGGAGAATTGCCTGAACCCAGGAGGCGGAGGTTACGGTGAGCCGAGATCGCGCCATTGCACTCCAGCCTGGGTAACAAGAGCGAAACTCCGTCTCAAAAAAAAAAAAAAAAAAAAAAAGAATATGTTTCACATAGTGTAAGTTCAATGAAAGATGTAGAAGGATAAGTACAATCCAGAATAGTGGTTTGGCCCATGGTACTGAAAGGGGAATATATGAGGAACGAGAGTGATACAATTGAGAAAGAACACACAGAGCCTTTCCAAGGAATTCATATTATTCTTTCTCAGGTTGGGTGGTGGGTACCTGATTGTATATTCTAGTATTCTTGTTGCCATTTTATAAATAGATATGTGAAATATGTTATAATAAAAATTTTTTTTAAAAAATAAAACAGAGAAGAGATTCTGTCAGTCTACCCATTAGACTTTATAGATTTTTGGTCCTACCAAGAAATCTTTGTATTCTGTTCCTGAGAATCTAAAGAGGTAGCATCCTATAGAGATTTTTTTCATTCACATTTCATCCTAAAAATGACCCCAGGAACTACTTGTACTTTAGACACATAGAGAAAAAAATATCAGATCTCATTGAAGACTTTTGCTTAAGGCACATCTTGGTGATTTTAACCAGTTTTAATTACATGCTTTACCACTGGTTTGTCTTTTCTGTTCCTTCAGTTGCTTCATGAATATTGGATGGCTCTGAGGAATCGTGTGTCTGCTGTTGATGAACTTGCAATGGCTACAGAACGACTAAGAGTGCGTGATCCTAGGGAGCCAAAGCCTAATCCGCCAGTTCTTCATATTATTGAACCACACGAGGTAATTGGCAAGTAAATCACAGAAAAGGGAACAGCAAGCAGATGTTACAGATATCCAAGACCCAAAGAAGAGGCAGAATCAGGGCACTCACTGATCTATAAGTGTGTATTTAGTCTTCATTTTTAATTTGACCCATGAAAAATTGTCTTTGTAGATGAAAAACAGTCAAAGATGAGGGATTTCATGTCTGTTACTTGCTTAGCATTCACTATTTTGATGCATTTTGTTTCCACGTTGCACATTCATCTATTTTTGAGTTTAAAACATTATAGGTGCTTAAAACCAATAGATATTCTCACTTTTTAGATTTTTTTTCTATTAACCTCAGTTTTATCAGAACTAGAAAAATCTTCCTTAAGAACAGCTGAAACCTTTTCTTTTGCAATGTTTCTTTTACTAATGACGAACTAATATTAACAACTTACCTTCTAATAGATTTGTCTTTGTAACCCAGGTTTGAAAACATAACTCCAGCAATTTTTTTTATTCTCTGTTAAAAGATATTATTTTCTTTATAATTCATTTTTATTCTTTATTTGTTTAGTGCTTTACGTCTGTTTCTGTATAGCTTGGAAAATATAACTTGGAAAAATTTAGATATAGTTATTATATGTGAATTGTGAGTAAGTTTTTCTGAGAAAATAAATGTCTCTTGTTAGAGTGTTCCTTCTCTGTCTGCCATATTCTACTAGGGGAGCAGAGGAAGGAAGGGCAGAGAGATTCTTTCCTGGATTTCATGAAATCACTGAGGCCAGAGCAGCAAATCATTTGACATTTCTTTATCCCATGGATCTATTACTGAAAAACAATGATACATAATAGAATTTGAGCTGATTTTTATCTGACTTCAGGTACACAGGGACACTTCCTGCTTAAAAGAGCTCTACATTGAGTTGTGCCTTTTATAAGGGAAAAATAAAAAGCCATTTGAAATATATTATCTAGTGTCCATTTTGAAAACTTGTGTTTTAGAATATAAATAGGTTTTTTTAAAAAAACGAATACATTTATATTATTGGAGAATTGTATGTGTTTAATATAATTTAACTGTCTTTCTGAGAGAGAATAAAGAAATTTTTATTTTTATTTTCTTTAGGTAGAACAAAATCGAATAAAACTACTAAATGATAAAGCCGTTGCTACATCACAGCTTCAGAAAAAACTTGGGCAGCTTCTTTACCTAACTAATTTGGAGAAGGTATTGTTTTTAAGACATGCTACTTTTTCCTATGCTATATTATCATAAACCACTTTAGTGACTCTTTTCATAATTAATGGTGCAAATTTTTTAAAATTAATTTTTGTGTTATATGAGTCAGAACACTACCTTTGTCTCTACAATAGCTACACAAATCACAAAAGAATATTGTATCTATAGAAATTATGTTATGCATTTGATATAGAAAGCCTGCACTCTATAGTAGAGAACAATGTAAATGCACTGTAGTTCAAAGCCTTGAATAGTAGAAGTATTACAACGTATCTTCGTGAAAATGGCTTAATGCAATTTATACATATGCATTCATTCATAAATACAACAATGTTTTTTAATTTGTTATTTGAAACTAAAATGTGTTTGGAAAGCTACTAAATCAGAGTACATGGTAATAAAGGTAGACGTCAAATATTAAGTGTAATTCAAAACACATGTTCTGAGTTGTGATCTAAGTATTATTTGAACATTGATGAATTGATGAGTCATTGATTAAATATAATTCCATTTCATTGCAGGAATTTGTATTTTAAGAGTTGGCAGAGCACCTTCTTGGGGCAAGATACCATAGCAAATATTTGGATAGGGCCAGTGAAAACAAGCTACAAATTTGAAATCTTCCGAAAACTGGTATAACATATAAGTGAATCAGTAAATCTCAAAGTGAAAAGTTAGACATTCATTATAGGTAAAATAGCATGGCGACTAAGAAGACAGACTTTGAATCTAGACAGCCCAATTTTGAATTGTGACTTCACTATTTTCTAGATATGTGAGATTATTTAAGTTATTCACCTTCCCTTGCATCATCTGTAAAATGATATCGACACTACTTTATAGTATTCTCTTGAGGATTATGTGAATTAATATATGTAAAATGCTAGAGTCGTTTCTGCCCTTTTAAGCGCTTTCTAGGTTTTTGCTGCTATTAATATTATTAAGATTCTACTGTTATGATTACCAGCACTGTTATTCTGAAAGATAGAAAGAAAATTTCAAAGTTTCATACAAAATGCTAACATTAAGAATATAACACCTAGGAGAAATGTCTCAACATTGCTGGGCATAAGTTTTTTAAATGTAAGATTTCTATACTTTAAATATGGTAGTCAAAATGAAAAGACAGTTATCTGTTAATTGTACCTCATTGTTTATATGTTAAAATATTTTTTAAACCTAAAATTTTAAGGATATGGAATAATCTACATAAGAAAATTCTATTTGGCTATTAATAAAAGAAAAAGCATGTAATCCTTAATGATGGAAAATCAAATTACACAGGTGCCATTTTCTGCCAAAAAGTAGACACAAATTTTTTAAATGATTATACACCCCAGTGGTGAAAAAGGGCAGTGAATGGATATGCTTTATGCATTACCAATGAAAATATAAATTTATATAAGCTTTTCCTAAAAGCATTTCAACAGTTGGATGCAGGTTTAACATCTCAAATCCAAAATTTGACATGTTCCAGTGAGCATTAACTTTGAGCATCACATCAGCACTTAAAGCTTATGATTTTAGAGCATTCGAGATTATGGATTTTTGGATTTGGAATGCTCAACTTGTGTGTGAAAAAAAGGAAAAGGAAAACTGGACAACGTAGATAAAATGAATTGGAATCTTATCAAATGGACATTGTAGAACTGCAAAAATACAGTATCTGAAATCAAAAACTCATTGAATGGAGACCAGACACAGAAAAAGACAGTGTTTATGAACTCAAGTACTGTACAGTAGAAAATACCCAATTTGAAGTGGCATAGTTAGAAAAATAAAGAGCAAAATAGGGCAAAAGATATTGAGACAGTTGTTTAATATAGCATACTTGTAATTTCATAGATCTAGCATACTTGTAACTGAAGTTCAAGAGGAAACGAGAATAGGACAGGAGCTTCAAGAGATAATGGCTGAGAATTTTCTAAAACTGATAAAAGACAATATGACAAATGTCTTACAGATTCAAGAAGTTCAGAAACCCTAAGCAGAATAAGTAAACAAAAACAAAAATACTGCCTAGGTGTATTATAGTCAAACTCCTGGAGACCAAAAATAATGAAAGATAAAAATAAAAAAAGTTGAGAGATAAAACACTTAATATTTACAAAAGAGCACTAATAAAACTGGTGGCTACATAGAGATGTTTTTCTTTTCAACTTAAAAATGTTTCACTGTTTTGCATAGTTTCTCTGTAACCAGTTGACATCTGAACATCTTCAAAATGCTAAAAAAAAAAAAAGTCAACCTAGAATTCTATACTTAAAGAAATTTCCTTTTTTATAAAAAGTGAAATAAAGATATTTTCAGACAACCACAAACTGGAAGAATTCATTTCCAGTAAACCCGCATCACAATAAATACTAAAGGAACTTCTTTGGACTGAAGGAAAATTATTTCAGATTGAAGGATGGAACTACAGTAAGGAATGAAGAGCAGAAGCTTAAATATATAGATAAATATGCAAGGATATTGACTTATTTAAAAGCAGCAATGCTGTCCTATGGGTTATACAACATATGTAGCACTAAAATATATGTTAGTAGCACAAAGGAAGGAGGTAAGCAGAGGTAAACTATTATAAGATTCTTCCAGAGAAATGGACAAAAAGTCCATAAGGATATTGAACATTTGAACACTAATGAACAAATATGACCTAATTGACACAGACCACTCAACAACTGCAGAATACATATTTTTAGGTGTATATGGAACATTTATCAAAATAGATCTCATGCTAATTCAAAAAGCAGCTCTTAAAATTTTCAGAGGATTAAAAGCATGCAAGAGTATGATTTCTGACTGAAGAAGAATTTAAACCAGAAATCCTTAATGGAAATAAAAGTAGATAAATCCCTAAAAGTTTTGAAATTGACAACATACTTCTGAATAACCCATGGGTCAAAGAAGAAGTCAAAATGGAGATTCAAAAATACTCTGAACTAAGTGAAAGCAAAAATATGTGACAGTGCTTAGAGGAAAATTTATAAATTGTTTAAGTTAAAGATCTGCAAATTACCATGTGTTGGAAAAATTCATCCCACTACCTTTTTTTGTAAGTAAAGTTTTATTGAAATATGGTCACATACATTCATTTACCTATTGTCTGTGGCTACATTCATGCTACAGTAGTGGAGTTGACTAGTTACAACATAGACCATGTGTCCCACAAGGCCTAAAATATTTATAATCTCACCATTTATATAAATGTCAGTTCTTTATTGACATTGGAAAAGAAGAGCTATTGTGAATTATGGTAGGTTGTTTACAAAGTGCTACAGCAATGATCTTTCATGTGTACATGCCTATAAGCAATCCCCTTCTATACTGACTCTGGCCTTAGTCAGGTAACTTTTGTTTGACCTTCTGACATGCAGAGACCTAAAAAGTCCATGCATTTTGGGGTACTCCCATTCTTGTTGCCCTATGGAACTCCATGAGACTGTCTGAAAAAAACCTGGTTTACCTTCTTGAGCAGCAGAGCCCCAGCTCAGCGCAGCCCTCCATGTAGACCAGATAGCCTACCAACTAACTGCCAGACATGAGCATGAGGCCATTATAGACCATCCAACCCTAGCCAACTCAGCCCATCCCTGAATCACCTGTAATATCATGGGAAATGTGTGTTTGTTTTAAGCCACTAAAATTTTGGGTGATTTATTATACGTGAAAAGGAAAATTGGACAACATAGATAAAATGAATTAGAATCTATATGGTGGCATCAAATGGACATTATAGAACTGCAAATATATATATATATATATATATATATATATATATATATATAATTGATTTATTTATAAAAATCAGTAATTAACATAGAAAAGAATAATTCATTTGTTCAATTTGTTTAAATGTCTGCATAACTTTATGTTAGTTAGCAGAATTGTTTTTAACCTTTAGAGTTGCTGAATCCATGCACAATTTAGATATTTATTTATTTATTTACTATTTATAAGCCAAATGATATAATTTTTTTTTTTTTGGAGACAGAGTCTCGCTCCATCGCCAGGCTCCAGGCTGGAGTGCAGTGGTGGAACCTTGGCTCACTGCAACCTCTACCTCCTGGATTCAAGCAATTCTTCTGCCTCAGTCTCCCAAGTAGATGGGACTACAGACATGCGCTGCCACACCCAGCTAATTTTTGTATTTTTATTAGAGACGGTGTTTCACATATTGGCCAGGATGGTCTCAATCTCTTGACCTCATGATCCACACGCCTTGGCCTCCCAAAGTGCTGGGATTACAGGCATGAGCCACCGCGTCCAGCCTAAATGATAGAATTTTTAATTGTTTATTTGGTTAGTCAAACCTCAGACAAAAAAAAATTCAGTGATCTTTTATTCTAATTTATTTTCTTTTATGTTTTCCTCAGTTTTAAAACCTGTCCACTGGGCTGGTGACTTTTTTGAAATTCTTTCAGTTTTTGTAATACTAAGGAGATTTCAAAAAGCTATTGTTTTTGATATAATTTCTAGTTATAAAGAGGTCTGAAATCAGTAATATTTCTGTTTCCCAGTTATTTGCTTTTTATGAGTTTAGGAAAAGGATGCTGAGAAGAAGCATGTATTAATAAGGAGTTACATTATATAAATAAATGCTGACTCTTTCCATATCTATGCTTTTAGGCCAAGTAGATAAGCAGATTAAGTACAGGTTTTTTCAAAAACGTTAAGGAGCTCTTATTTCAAAATTCTAAATTGTATATTTTTAAGTAACCTGTATATTTTAATAACAAAATTTAGCCTAAAAATAAAGCTTTAAAAATCTAGCTGTCATAGTTTGCTTTTATTTTTGCCTTCTACTGTAATCAAGATACACTAATATTATAGTTTAAGCTACAGGTTGAGTTTGCCATATCTGAAATGGTTAGAACCAGAAGTAATTCAGATTTCAGACTTCTTCAAATTCTGGAATACTTGCATTATACTGGTTAATCATCCCAAATCTGAAAATATCTTATCTGAAATTTCAGATTTCAGGTTTTGGATTAGGGATATTCAACCTGTATGATTCAAATTGTTTTTATTTTTTTGTTCACTCCTTGAATAAATGGTATTTGTAAGTCCCAGGAATAATAAGGTAATATAGGGATTAATGGATCATCTAAATTGATAGATTATGAAAATTGTAATTGCCAGTATTCACTTCCGTGAGTTGCAAAATATGTATCAGGTTTTATATGTAAAAATGTAACTAATATATTTTTTAATTCTTTTTTGGATAGTCTCAAGACAAAACATCAGAAGGCATTAATCCAGAACCTTGTCCAATCTGTGCTCGACAGCTGGGAAAACAGGTGAAATTATGATAAACATCACATGCATTTATAAAATAACCTTACAGTTTTCAAAGGTTTCTACATAAAATATTTTTTTCTTTCTCTCATTTTTCTCATCACTAGTTTCTATGAAAGGCAAGTATTACCATCATCTTAAAGGTAACACCTGAGGTTAGGTGACATTCTTAGGGATAGAGGTCTGAGCAACATTTTTCTTAAATGGAAAGCGAAAAAATATTTCTAAAATGACCCCATCTTTTTCATTAAAGATAGATAATTTCAAACATTGTTTCCAGTCACAAGACTGTGTCCAGTTATTTGACTTTGTCAGGTAACATAGTTATTCAATAATTACATGGAAATGTGGCATAACACACATACATTTACTTAAGGTATTACATTAATGTAGAATCATATTTCTTACTTGACAGTATTGATATCTCATAATACTTGTACTTTAGAGTGCAAATTAATCCCTCCTAGGGAAATTTCCATGTGATTTTGGTAGACCACTATATTAAGTATATTTCTTTGTGAACATTAGTATACATAATGTCTTTAAACATGGTAGAACCATATTCTCCTCTAGGAGAACTGCAATTTACAAAAATACAAGTTTCTGCTTTCTAAGATATGTATATAATCAGAATATTCATTGCTTTTGAAAATTTGAAAGATAAGCCTATTACTGTTGAAGAAGTAGAAATATTCTTGGCTGTTTTTTCTATGGAACTGAGAGTTGAAAGGTAAATATATGCATTCTATATTCTGACCAGTAATAATCAAGAAGAAAGTACCTTTTGGTTTCCAGGATTGGTGGAGAAGGTGAGATCACAGGAACACTTCATTTGGTAATGTATCTTAAAGGGAGAGATATTACATTGGAAACTGAGCAGAATAGTAGTGTACAAATGCTGGTGACTTCTGACAAAAAGTCAGTGATGAAACTGTGATAAAACTTGTGATAAAAATGGAAGAAATTATGACATAAAGTAGTCTCTTTTGCTTTTAGTTTTGATAAGATTTATGCAACTGGACTATCTCAGACATTTTATTTCATTTTAAACATTTTCAGTTTTTAAAGTTCTTCCATATACATTTGTTCATTTAAGTCTAGCATAACCTAGGTTTCCTACACTTAAAAGACCATATCGGATTTTAATAATAGTAGCAAAACTGCTTTTCAAGTTCTGTTCATACTCACAATGTATAGTAGCTGTATATTTTTTTCCTTTTTGCCTCCTCGGTTCTCCTCTTCTTCTAATTTATAGCTATTAAATTAGAATCTGTCAGAGATAACCTCTATGTACCAGCTGATGCCCCTGGAGGCATTGCATATTTGTTTCTTCTGTTGGGGTCAGTCAGCTTCCTGTCATTCCAAATGCTCAGGTGCCAGGTATCTCATTAGTTCCTCACCATTGTACATGTAGGTGGACCTGTATGGCTGTTTAGTTGGTCCTTTCTGAGCACCAGTGAGTCCCAAAACTGCTTTCCAATAGAGTAACCCAGTGGCGCTAGAGGTTCATAAAGTGCAAGAGTGCTGCTCTGTGTCAAACAAAATGCTGATAAAATAGCTCTTCAACTTCATTAGTCTCAACCCCTGTGGACTCTGGCAGAGGTGCAGCTAGAAAACAGTAGGAATAGTATTACCTGATAACAGGCAAAATAGTGGTTTTAAAACCAAGCTTATATACCTCAATTTTCTCTTTCTTTCATTGTGAGTTCTTTTCCAAAGAGCATCTTATTTGGTCCTGCAAAGAACCTTGAGTGGGCCAGCCATATACTTTCTTTCCATAAATGTCCAAATCCTGAAAACAAACATAGCTTACGGATTTAGGAGCTTTGTCACTCAAAACGACACTCAGTTTTTCTTACTGTTTTTACTAGGTGGAAAAGGTTAAATATACGTTTATAAGATGCCGTAGCTTTTAGAGCTTACACCTAGACTAAATCTGTTGCTCTTTTACATCTCTTATTGCCAAAGAGGGCCAAAGTCTCCGTGGTGTGTTGCAGAGATTCAGAGTGGATTATTTTATTTTTCCCGAAATGTGACAAGGGGTTTCTTAAAAATTTTTTTGTATTTTTTTTAAAAAATACCCAGAACCACTTTTAAAATAAATTTGAGATACTAACTAGCCCATATTATTTTCTATATAAGTACTTTAATGTGTGAAAATATAAATCTGTTTTTTAAATTAAGTGGAACATATTGAGTATGATATTATCTCCAAAATAATGTTATTCTGAGTCCCTCTGTTATATATATTGTTAGAGTGCTGAAGGACTAATTTGCAATTTTCCCAGATACAGAAATGAGAATACCAACTTCCTACAAAGTAATGATAGCTGACTATCATACTCACTATTAGGAGAAACAGAACTGAAGACTATGAAAGCTTACTTTGGAATAAAAAAACAGTTAAAAAAACTTAGCTTTATAACAGAGAATATTAATGTCATGAAATCTTTAGGAAGAAAAATTGTGACTCCCTTCTCCTTTTAATATACTTACAAATTGAAAGGCATCTTTGATAGCACTAAGGCTTTTTTTGATAGAATTGAAAGGCATCTTTAATAGTGGCACTAAAGCTTGTTCTATATGTTTTCTTTTTAGTGGGCAGTACTGACCTGTGGTCACTGTTTCTGTAATGAATGCATTTCTATAATTGTCGAACAATACAGCGTGGGATCTCACAGAAGCTCCATTAAGTGTGCGATCTGCCGCCAGACCACATCTCACAAAGAAATATCGTATGTCTTCACCTCAGAGAAAGCAAGCCAGGAAGAGGACATCCCTGTGAAGGTAAAGTAGGTCAGGAACACTCAAAAGCATAGGTAAGGCAATATAATAGGAAGCAGTATCTGATTAAGAAACCATAAATATCACAACAAGCTTGGCACAGTGAATAAGTGGATACCACTGTTCATAGATATACTGCCTGAAAGCCTCAGCTTAACCATCTAAGTTTTAATTGTGGGAGGAACACAGAACACTTATTCAAACATGGTTAGCAATAGTCATGCACATGGTAGCTAAAATGTAACATCTTAAAATTCCAGTTTCCTATCATCCTTTATAGTATTTCTGTCCACCACAAATAGATAGAGGTCTGGTTACATTAGAGATTTATTTAAAGAAAGAGCTTTCCTCATTATTTTACTCAACCCTGCGTATAAGGGGAAAGATGTGTCTAACTAAACAGAAGGAAAAAGTAAATTGGTTAATGAAGACAGTTACAAGAATTTAAACAGCATGGATTGATATTTCAGGGTACAGCCAAATTTTGGCATTATTTTCCCAATTTTTTTCCATGCTTCATTCAGAATTTTTTAAAAATTACTATAATTTGTTATCCAGACCGGATCTGTAATTGGATTCACTGCTTAAGGGGTATTTAGTACAAAGCGGAGGCTATTTTGTTCTTTCTTTTCCTTAAATATGCTTTTTAAATATTTTTTTCTAACCAAACTTGAACAAAGGACACATCAGTATCTAAATGTAGTAGCAAATGTGGGCTTTAAGGAAGAGTTATAGGATGAAAATGGAGAATGATGGGGCTGACTCTTAAGCAATATTATGTGTTCTTTATTCCTTCTTCTTCTGAGTTTTTGATACTCTCTTTTCACTTTTAAGTAATGTGTTTTGTAAGTAGAATCAGCTACAAGTTGAAATTCACTACCAGTAGTTAGTTGTTAGGGTGCGCTCTCCCAAGAAAACTATAGTTGAATTAAAGAACTTTTAGTTGTTTTTTTTTCACTGTTATTTGAATAAAACCTAAAAATATCAGTCCTATTGCTCTCTAATCTGTCGTGATAAACAGAATCCCACAGTTAGAATAAGCATTCATCCATCCATTCATTCCACACATATATTGGACATGTGCTAGCACACAGGCAAGGCCTCATAGCTGCAGCGTACACTCATAAATAAAATAGATACGGTTGCTCCTCTTCTGGAAATTGGTGAAGGAGTTTCAGTTGGGGCAAGAAGCACAGATGCTAACAAGTAATTAATGTGTTATAATTGTGATAAGCACAACAAAAGAACACAGCTAGAGGCATCACGCTACCTGATTTCAAACTACACTAGAAGTCTACAGTAACCAAAATAGCATGGCTGGTAGATTGAATTAAAGATTGAGTCAAGTGGGGAGGGCTGGAAAATGAGAAGGAACAACTAGGGCTAGGCAATCCAGGGCAGTATGCTGGCAACAGAGGCCACAGGGAAGCTCTGCTTTGGTAAGGAGGTAGTAGTGCTGATTGTGGATCAACTCAGTGTCGACTAATTGTCTAATGAAATCACTGATGACTTTAGAAGGAACTCTTTTAATACAAATGTGGAGGCAGAGAGCAGGTTAGGAGGGATTGAGGGATGAGCAGGAAGTCAACAAGTAGAAAAAGATGCCCAGCTGTTTCTTATATTTACTTCATTCAGAATGGCTGCTGAGAGACCAGTATGCATAGAGGATAACTAGATTCTAATTAAAGCAGGGAAGTGAAGAGCAGTAGTTCCACAAGAGTAGAAAATATTACATAGAAACAGAATTATAACCAGAAGATATGAGTACAGAAAAACATCACTTTGTAATTTTCTTTTGTTTAAGGCAAAAGATTCTTGCACTTTAATCTCTAGTGAAAAAGGATAGACTGAAGGTATAAGAGAAAGGATAATTTGCAATGCAAGTTTCTTGAAAAGGAGAATGTTGATATATAGAGAGAAAGTAGAGGTCTCATTGAAGTCAAATAACAGGTATAAATTGGGCTGTTGAGCACAAAAGATAAGCATAGGTGTTCCCTGAGTATGGTCAGGTATGCCAGATATGACTGTAGAAGTAAGTGACTCAAGTGAGGCAGAGAAGAAAAGAGGCTAGAAGATGAAACAATCTGAGACCTGCATTTTGGATGGTTGTCCAGGCAGACAGTATGTAATATCTAGAGTTGAGTTATAGAGTAAATTAGGCATTGAAGTTCTTTAGTGAACGTAAGGTAGGATTCAGTAAATGATAGGAAAGGGTAGAGTTGGGATAACTGGGCCTCAAAAGAATGGAAGTTATTACACAAATGAGAAATAATGATCTGAAACTTGTATTTGTGTCAAATGCAAGGAGTGAGAGGATAAACATCCTTTATTCAGAAGGGCTGCTGAGAGACCAGTATGCTTAGAGGATAGTCAGATTCTAATTAAAGCAGGGAAGTGAAGAGCAGTATTTCCACAAAAGGTAGAAAATATGAAACAATTGTTGATCGTAATAAAGTATGAGTTCCCGGGGTCACCAGTGAAAGGTCCAGGAGTGAAAGGAAAAGAATCAAAGGGTGAACAAGCAGGAAGGAAGTCCAGGACAGTATGGGAGTAACAAAATGGGCAAGGCTAGGTGATGAGAACATCATGACCTAAGGATCGTCTAGCCCTATTCCCTATCAGTGAATCCGCTGGATATGTTTTACAGTCAGCACTGTGTATTGGTGGATTCAGCCAATCATGGATCAAAAACATTTGGAAAAAGAAAAATTCCATGAAGTTCTAAAGAGTAGAACTTGAATTTGCAGCATACTGAGTCTATGTTGAATCCACACAAATTAAATAATGTGTAGGGATTATATGAGGTAATCTAGAGATGATTTAAAGTATACAGGAGGCTATGTATATGTTATATGCAAATATGACATCGTTTTATATAAGGGCCTTGAGCATCCTGGGATCTTGGTGTCCACAGGGATTTTTGAACTAGTCAGTCCCTCGCAGATACTAGGGGAGGACTGTATTTTTAAAGCAAATGCCAAAGAGTTACTGAATGAAGAGGTAGGTGACTTATGGTACAGTAGCCTTGAGGCATTTGACAGTTATTGTTTGTCCTGCCTTGCAACACTAAGAACTACTCTCCTTCCCAGTCCCTCTCTCCCCCTTTCTTTCCCACTCCTAAAGTTTCCCCTTTCCTTCCCATAAAGGTAGTCTTTCTTAGCCTTCCTTTTTTCTCTTCTTTCTCTTTCTCTGGCCACAGGCATCTCAAGGGCCACAGATGGCTTTTGTGGCTAAGAAGAGGTGGCTTACCCTTAGGTGAAAGCATGCATCACAGTACAAGGAACTGTCAGAAGAAAGAAATGCTGTGTCAGGTTTTGTGCAGAGAGAGTGAGGAAGTGATTGCTCTAGCTACCAGTCAACAGCATAGTCTATGAAACAGTCATTGAGCCAATCACACCCAAACACCTGTTCATTTTATGGCAGCTTTCCTAGACACCCGGGATAGAGATTGGCACAGTTACATGTGCTGTGCTGTTGGAGCAAAGATATCAGTGTATAAATACTGTTTATTGTGCTCTCACTTCTCCCTGTCTTTCATGGGTATTGATGAACACATGAATTAACTGAAGCATCTTAAAAAAAAAATAAGATTATAGAATTTAGTAAAGATAATTTCCCTTTTGTCATAGATGCATATGTAATTACATTTCCTTTTCTTGAACATAAGACTGAATATTGTACCATTGTGCAAGCAAGTTTTATCCCTCTTCGACCTCCTCACATTGCTTCATGCCACGTTTAGGTTGGCTCTTCACTACTTTTTCTGTTAACATTTGTGTCTGTCACATTTGCCTTGTACTTCCTGTCCCCTCTTCTGACTTCTGTCACATTTCTGCCTTGCTGTCTGTCACTTCCTCCTTGAAACATCTGCTTATTGTATGCTAAGACTTCATCCCTCTCTTGTGCATCTTTGAAACTTCCATGTAAATGGTCATATTGCCTATTTTGGATTTGTATGTAAATAAACATGGCTCTGTGTAAATAATTAAGACATTATTTTCAAATTTTAGATCTATTAGTTCCAATTATTCCTAAACCTAGTTTTTTTCTTTTTATTATTGTTGATATCAAATCCCTGATCTTTAATAAACAATACTGAGAAGTAATTTTTTATTTAATTGAAATGTTTATATTTTCTGAAATATAAAATTTATTTCTAAAATGGTTATTTCACTGTATTTATGTCAAGATTCTCAGTCATAGCAAACAATATATCATACATAATGCTTAATCATATAGCTGTTCTGTGGATAAAAGATATTTGGAAAACATACAACTACTATTTAACAGTAGTAGACATTTTTTAAGTGGTATTTCTTGGAAATAAGAAATTTTACAATGTAAGGAATGCTGTTGATTGACCATAGATATAAAATGAATATTGGGATTACAAACGTCCAGTTCGGTGGATGCACCTAAATTGAAGACCATGTCTTCCCTAGCAACAGTGTGACAGTATTCCTAAATGACCTTTGGAACCTACTGGGCAGCTCACAAAGTAAACAAAATTCCCCTTGCAAGTTCTGACAACTGCCAGGCATTTTGGATGGTGAAGTAGGCCTCCTGGCAGAACATATGGCCCACGTGTCTTGTTCCCTGCGTCTTACGTTTGGCTAGGTTTCATACAAAACATTTTTGCCAGTGGAAACCCTGACCCTATAATGAACGAGAGTCTTAAATAATAAGAAATTTCTTTCCAGGAGAAAATAGATATAGCCACTACATAGATAAAGCGACAGCAATACAGTACCCTTCCCACACACCACATGCTACACAATTGCCTCTCTTGTCAAACTTGTAAGTATGTGACCATCAAATGGCCTGCTTTTTAAAATAAATATTTTTGTTAAGGCTCTACCCTCATAAATTTTGACTCATTAGACCTGGGATGTGGTCCAGAAATCTGCATTTTTATCAAGCAAATACACAGCCTTTTGTAGACAAAAAAACTCTACATCTCTACATTCCAATTCCCAGAGAAGCCTAGCCATACTATGTGTAGAATTCTACTACGTGTAGAATTCTACTACGTGTAGAATCGTGTTCTGGTTTTTTTTTAATTTTGAGTTTTGTTCAATTAATTTAAAGATCATTTGTGACATCTGTCTCGCACTTTAAAATATAATTAAAATAAACATCTGAGTGGAAAAAAACTAGGAAATTCTGACTGAGTTTAAAATAGGAATAAAATAATTTGGTAAATATAATCCAGAAATGATTATATTAAAATATTCTCATATAAGATAGAAGTTTATATAACATGAACATTAACTGGTAAATTTGGAATGCAGTTGTATATTTTTGTTAAAATATGTCCTGACTAAATATAATTTGCAAAAAAAAAAAAAACCCTATTTCTGTTCACTGGCCAAGTTAATATTTGTAATTCTGAACTGTTAGCCTCATGTTAAAGTTAGCCATAGCCTGCAATAAATTGAACACACAGTAGAGACTTCTAAGATATAAAATAAAAGTTATCTTTATGAAATTATCTTTATGAAAAGCTTGATCACTTGTGGAGTGTAAACTCCATTAAAAGTTAGAGGACTTGTTTATGAGATGGGCACTTTGTTTTATTCACTATTTCATATGAGGCATTTGGAGCAATACCTGGCATTTAATAGGCACTCAGCAAGTATTTGACTGCTGAATGCATTGATGGATGACAATTGAATAGTCTGTATACCTAGTAACCCTAAGAACCTTTAGATCCAAATAAAATTTTTAACTTTTTTTTCATTGCTAACTTACATCTTTGAAATAATTATGCAAAGTGTTTAAAAGAACGGGATAATATTTTTTTGTGGCTTAGTACACTTGTAAGATCTTCCACAGCCTAGGCATAATTTCCATTGAGCTTTATTCAAATATCATGTGAATGCTTGAAGAACCCAGTACTTGCCCTAGACATATGCTTGAAAAGTATTTCCCCCTGGTAGCACCAAAGATACAAGCTTCATAACTGCCCTGAATTGTATCTGTCGCTACCAGTATGGGTTTTTAGCATGGTCAGCAGGTGCAGACAGAAATAAAACAATGTTAACTGATCTTACTCAGCTGAGCCTGCTATGGACAAAACAGACACATTGAAGGAGTTAGCTGTATTTCAAAAAGAAGAGTTCAGAGTAAAAGTAACAGAAGTCATAAAATTCCAAAATAGGAAATAACTTGTGACTAACAGTCTTCTCAATGTAAAACTTTTTGGAAGTGTTTCATATGTATTTGTATGTGTATTTCATTTGTATGAATATATATATTAATATATAACATATAAAATCCCTAAAGATATAGCCTGCCTGTTGACATAGTCTCCAAAGATGAATGTTCTCTCTTTTGTTTGATTAAAAAAAACAAGACTGAGTGTATTCATCATCTCCATTATATTGACTTTTCTCTGATGTTCTTGAGGAGTCAGCAGCCACTTTAGCTCTTAATTTTACAAATGGAGCTAAGCATGACCACGGGAATCCACAGGTCCTGCACAGAAAAAGGTGGTAGAAAGATGTGGACAGAGTAGATTAACAGAAAAAATAGAAAATGGCAAAGGAAAAGGAACTAGATTGGTGACAAAGGCATATATTGAGTAACAAGCTCTTAATTCCGGGTGAAAAATTGCCAAGTCCTATTTCAAATTGTGCTCCAATATTCACTTTATATAGAGTCATTGAAAAGAAATACAATGCAACAATATCTTCCTAGTCACAGAGCATTGTTTTTCTTTTGTATGTGTAAATCAAGTGCAAGTGGCCCTTTCCTGCTGTAGCAGAGAGCTCGTATGTGTTTTCCTTTCTATCCTTTCTCTCCTAAGTAAGGAATCTCAGTAGATAGGAGACGGACATGAATCAAAATAGAGTAAAGCCAAGCTACAGTGTATCTTTCTACACCAATACTCAGATTTTTACTATTAATATTGCTCCCTCTTTTATCCCCAATAAGTCTTCAGTGCATGAAAAGCCCTTTCCCACTCCGAAATTACATTGGTAAAGTAGTTCATCTCATTCTGGAGGGGAGAGGATTAAAATCTAGAGCAGATGCTACTTGGTTGCTTTATTAGAAGAAATTTTTTTCAGTTTGCTGAATATATGGCAAAGAAATAAAACTGAGTTTTCTGTCATTTTAATACATATAACAACCTGTAATTCAAAGTTTAGGTTCTCCACATTTTACAACAGAAGACTGCCACTATAGAACACCTTATTTCAATCAGATTTAACTCAGTGATAAAAATAAGTTAGTGGCACCCATTAGAGTAGATAAGAAGCTACATGACATTTCTGATCTTGAGTTGTATTACAAAGTGTCTTCCAGGCCAAACTTCACTAGAAATATTCTTTAGTGGCCTTTGGTGCTAGTGGGTCTCTACTGTTTTTTCAGTGTGTTGACTTCTTACCCCAAATTCTGGAGCTTTTAGTTTTGTACTTTATTTTCCAGAAAGTGAAAGACTTCACTTTACTTCACTTCTTTATTTTTAAATATTTTAATTCTTCTGGCTTCTGACTTTGTGCCTTGAGTAGAAAAACAGGAGCGATAACAGCCTTGAGCTGACTGGGAACACTTTGTATGTCTCTCACCTCAGTTCTCAAGTTGACCTTAGAGAGAATTTGTGCCTTGGAGAGAAGAATGGCAAAGATACAGTCAATGAAGGTAAAGGACAGAAGCTGTGTCGTTACTCCAAAACTGGGCCTTGGTCATTAATGTTTCAGACATGAAGAAAAACTTAGCATTAAGCACAAAGTTAGGATTAGGGTGTGTGTTGAAGAGACTAAGGAGAAAGGATGGGAGTAAGAAAAGGGACAATAATGTCAGAAGAGGACAGAGGTGCTTATAATTAAGTACAACTTTATCAACCTAATAAGAGATTGCCTAGCAGTTTTGTGGGATTTCTATTCCCATGCACACTCTTTCCTAATGCATATTATTCCAGCTTAACTTTGCCATCTGTTTACTGCTGTAACTAAATAATGAATTTGACTGAGGCTACCAGCTTACCTGTCTTGAGAATGTTCATACTGTGTTAACAGCTACACAAGAATAGGTTGGTATCCGCAGTTGCTTTTCTTACTTTTTTGCTTTTTCCCAAGCAGCCCTGCCTATATGTAACCCATCCCCTTTTTCCTGTTTTAATCTTATCTTTTTTTTTTAACAAAGTGAATAATTTGCTTTCTATAGCAGTAACCACATTAAATAGTCTTCTCAGAAGCTGACAGATTTGAACCCAAGTTTATTTACATATATGAGATAGAAGAAGCATGAAAAAGAGCAGTGGAATGTGTAAAGTGCTCATTAAGGCAGTATAAAGCATTCATTTTAGTTGCTTTTAGGCCAAACCAGCAGATAAACCATCCTTATACAGCTAGTCCTCACCTTACGACCACGATTGGTTCTGACAGACCAGTCGTGACACGATTTGGTCGTAAGTTGAGTAGGCTATATGTACAGTACTGTGAAATGATGTTATAAAAATCTTTAAGTCATATTTTATCATAATTTTCTTTCATTATTGTTATATATCATAATTTTCTTTGTTCATTTTATGCCATTTGTATCATCTCTACACCATTTTGTTTCTTATTTTTACATTCGTCAGGTTTAAGTAAAACACTGCATTACCAGTAGTAAAGGTTGACCTGAATGCTTATTATGAATGCATTCTTGTCAAATCTCATTTTTAAAAAGCCACCTTAACTTGAGGTAAAGGTGCAGCCTTGTGTTAAACTGTGGAATATTCACAGATCACTGAACCACGGTGGTCTATGGTTTGAAGTGAAACACCATGGCACATGATGAGTTTTGAAAAGCAGAAGAGTGTGAACTATGTTCTTAGGGTTAAAAAGGACTAGTTGCCAGGTATTTATTTATTATCATTGTAAATAGAAAAGTAAATCATCACAATTTTATGTGACTTTCCATGGGATACAAATATGTAGCATTCATCATAAAAGATGTCACCTGGATATCTTGTTCAAATATAATTTAAACTTAGTATGTTCTAATATTGTTAAAGATATAGGGATATAAACCACTCACATTTTAGTAAGAAAGGCAAGAAAATGACTAATAATGATATGATATAGCATATATGTTTATTGTCCCACACTGTCGTACGCCCAGCTGGGCAACGTTTGTGCTGCCAGACACGGAGCAGTCGTGGCTAGCGATTGTAGTCGTAAAGTCGAATGGTCGTAAGTTGCATAGGTCGTAAGTCGATCAGTACCTGTATATTTTTCTTCGTAGTCTGTAACGTGTTAGAGTGTATGTATTTGGGGACAAGGGAATTTTTTTTCATCTTTGTATATCCAGTTCCTAATATAGTTATTTGTTAACTCTCAAATGAAAAATTTGTATATACTTATGGTTGTGTGCAACATGATGTTTTAATATATGTGGATATTGTGGAAGGATTTAATCAAGCTAATGAACATATCCATCACTTCACATACTTAACAGTTTTTGTGATTAGAACATTTAAAATCTGCCTTCTTAGCAGTTTTCAAGTATAGTTGGCCCCCCATATTTGCAGATTCTGCATCAACAGGTTCAGTTAACCACAGATAAAAAATACTCAAGAAAAATTCAGCAACAGTAAAAAAAATCACAACATATGGAAAAAACACAAGTTCTTAAAAGGCACTATAATAATTATTTACATAAAATTCATTGTATTAAGTATTAAAAGTAATATAGAGGTGATTTAAAGTATACAGAAGAGTGTGTATAGGCTATATGTAAAAACTGCCATTTTTTGTAAGGCACTTAACATCTGAGATTTTGATATCCAATGGGGGTCCTAGATCTAATCCCCCAATGGATACCAAGGGACAACTGTATATAATACATTATGTAGTATAGTCACCATGATGTACAATAGATCTTTAGATCTATTCCTTCTGTCTATCTAAAACTTTGTACCATTTAACCCACCCCCTTCCCTCAAACTTCAGCCTCTGGTAACCACCATTCTACTCTCTGCTTCTAAGAGTTCAGTGTTTTTAGATACCACACATACGTGAGATCATGCAGTTTCTGTCTTTTCTGTGCCTGGTTTTTTTCAGTTAGCATAGTGTCTTTCGTAATTTGTTGTCTCACCTGACAGGATTTACTATCAGGTAGAAACATATTCTATTGTGTATATATACCGTTTTCTAAAATATATTCATCAGTTGATGGACACTTAAGTTGATTCCATATTTTGGCTACTGTGAATGATGCTGAAATTAACTTGAGAATGCAGATATCTCTTCCGCATACTGATTTAATTTCCCCTAGATATATACCCAGAAATGGAATTGCTGGATCACGTGGTAGTTCTATTTTTAATGTGTTGAGGAACCTCTTTATTATTTTGCAAAATGGCTCTGCTAATTTGGATTCCCACCAATAGTGTACAAGGTTTTCCTTTTCTCCACCTTCTCACCAACAATTACCTCTTGTCATTTTTATAATAGTCATTCTAATGGGAATGAGGTGGTATCTCAGTGTGGTTTTAATTTGTATTTCCCTGATGATTAGTGTTTTTGAGCACCTTTTCCTATACCTGTTAACTATTTGAGTAGTTTCTTTTCAGGTCCTTTGCCCATTTTTTCCTCAGGTTGTTTTATTGCTGTTGAGTTGTTTGAGTTTCTTGTATATTTTGGATAATAACTCCTTATCACATGTGTGGTTCGCAGATAGTTTCTTTTTTGTTGTAGATTGTCTATGTTGATTATTAACTTTGCTTTGCAAAAGCTTGTTACTTTAATGCAAGCTGATTTATCTTTTTGCTTTTGTTGCCAGTGTTTTTTGGGTCATATCCAAAAAATCTTTACCAAGACCATTGTCAAGTAGTAGTTTTGTAATTTCAGGTCTTATATTTAAATCTTTAATCCATTTTCAGTTGATTTTTGTATATGGTGTGAGGTAAAGGTCCAGTTTTATTCTTCTTCATGTGGATAATCAGGTTTTTTTAGAACAGTTTATTGAAGAGAGTGTTTTTCCCTCATCGTGTGATCTTCTTATCTTTGTTAAAGATTGGTTGACTACGTATGTGTGGGTTTACTTCTGGGCTCTCTCTCCTGTTCCATTGGTCTGTGTGTCTGTTTTTATGTCAGAAGCATAAAAACAGTTTTGATTACTGTGGTTTTATAATGTGTTTTAGAATCAGGGAGTGTGATATGTTTAGCTTAGTACTCAAGTTTGCTTTGGTTATCCAAGGTCTTTTGTGCTTCCATGTGAATTTTAGGATTGTTTTGAGACGGAGTTTTGCTCTTGTTACCCAGGCTGGAGTGCAATGGCGCGATCTCGGCTCACCGCAACCTCCGCCTCCTGGGTTCAGGCAATTCTCCTGCCTCAGCCTCCTGAGTAGCTGGGATTACAGGCACGCGCCACCATGCCCAGCTAATTTTTTGTAGTTTTAGTAGAGACGGGGTTTCACCATGCTGACCAGGATGGTCTCGATCTCTTGACCTCGTGATCCACCCGCCTCGGCCTCCCAAAGTGCTGGGATTACAGGCTTGAGCCACCGTGCCCGGCCAGGATTGTTTTTTCTGTTTTTCTTTGTCTGTTTTATGTTACCATAACAGAATATTTGAGACTGGGTAATTTATAAAGAAATGGAGTTATGGCCAGATGCAGTGACTCATGTCTACAATCTCAGTGACTTGGGAGGCCAAAGTGGGAGTATCACTTGAGGCTAGGAGTTCAAGACCAGCCTGGGCAACATAGTGAAACTGTGTCTCTACCAAAAAAAAAAAAAATTTAAAAATTAGCCAGGCATGGTGGTGTGCACACCTGTAGTCCCAGCTGCTCTGGAGACTAAGGAGGGAGGATCACTTGAGCCCAGCAATTCAGGGTTGCTGTGAGCTGTGATTACACCACTGCATTCCAACCAGGGCAAGAGCTCAAGAGCCTATCTCAAAAAGAGAAAGAAAAGAGGATTATGTAACTCCTTGTTCTGTAGGCAGGGAAGTTCAAGAAGATGACCCTTTAGGTGAGGGCTTCCTTGCTGCATAATAATGTGGCAGAGGTCATAGGGGTAGCAGACAGATAAAAAGAAAGTGGAACAAACAGGAGGAGGAAATTTACATTATAACAGCCTGCCATCACAGGAGCTCATCCATTCTTGCACAAGAGAGAATTAACTCACTACCAAGAGAGTAGCACCAAGTCATTCATGAAGGATCCACCCGCATGACTCAAAACACCTGCCACTAGGCCCTACCTCCCAACAGCACCATACTGAGTATAAATTTCAGCATGAATATCGCTGAGGACAAACTCAAATCATAGTACTATTTCTATGAAAAATGTCATTGGAATTTCAATAGGGATTGCATTGAATCTGTAGATCATGTTGGTTAATATTTCACAATATTAATTTTTTTCAGTCCATGAACATGTGATGTCTTTCCATTTATTTGTGTTCTCTTTAATTTTTTTATTAATGTTTCATAATTTTTAGTGTACAGATTTCTTGCCTTGATTAAATTTCTTCATAAGCATTTTTTTTAATGGTATTGTAAATGGGAATTTTTTTCTTGCTGTCCTTTTTGGATAATTCACTGTTAGTATAGAAATGTTACTGGTTTTTGTGTTTCTTTTGTATCCTGAAACTTTGCTAAATTTGTTTATTTTAACAGGTTTTTAGTGGAATCTTTAGAATTTTCTCTATGTAAGATCACGTCATCTGCAAACATTTTAACTTCCTCCTTTACAATTTTAATGCCTTTTATTTTCTTTTCATTCCTAATTGCTGTAGCTAAGACTTCCAATACTATGTTGAATAACAGTGGCAAGAGTAGGCATTCGTGTTTTGCTAATCTTAGAGAAAAAGCTTTCAACTTTTCACCATTGAGTATGATGCTAGCTGGTAGGCTTGTCATTTATGGCCTTTATTGTGTTGAGGTACATTCCTTCTGTGCCTAAGTTGTTGAGAATTTGTAATATTAAAGTATGTTGAATTTTATCAGATATTTTTTCTGCATATACTGAGAAGATCATTTTTTTCCCTTCATTCTGTTAATGTGCTGTATCACATTTATTGGTTTGCATATGTTAAACCATCCTTGCATGCCAGAGATAAACCCCTGTTGATCATGGTGAGTGGTCCCTTTTAATGTGTTGTGCAATTTAACTTTCTAGTATTTTGTTGAGGATTTCTACATGTTTTCATCAGAGATACTGGCCTGTAATTTTCTTTTCTTATAGTGTTCTTGTCTGACTTTGATATCAGTGTAATCCTGGTCTTGTAAAGGGAATTAAGAATATTCTTTCTTCAGTTTAAGTTCGAGAAGGATTGGTATTAGTCCTTATTTAAATAATTGTTAGACTTTACCAGTGAACCCACCAGGACCTATGCTTTTCTTTGATGGAAGACTTTATTACTGACTCAATCTCCTTACTACATACCGGTCTATTCAGATTTTCTATTTCTTTGTGATTCAGTCTTGGTAGATTGACTGTTTCTGGGAATTTATCCATTTCTTACAGATTTTCTGATTTGTTGACATATAGCTGTTCACAAGTTTCTTATGATTCTCTGTATTTCTGTGGTATCAGTTATAATGTCTCTTCTTTCATTTATAATTTTTAAAATTTCACTCTTATTTTTGCTTAGTCTACTTAAAGGACTGTCCATTGCGTTTATGTTTTCAGATAATCAACTAAGAATTTCATTGCTCTTTTTCTGTATTTTTTTTCTGATCTCTATTTCACTTATTTCTTCTCTGATTTTTATTATACCATTCCTTCTGCTGACTTTCAGTTACTTTGCTCTACTTTTTCTAGTGCCTTGTGCAATATTAGGTTGTTTATTTGGAACATTTCTTCTTCTTTTATATAGGTGTTTATTTCTATAAGCTTTATTATTAGAAGTGCTTTTGCTGAATTTCTGTAAGTTTTGTTATGTTGTATTATTATTTTCATTTGTCTCAAGATATTTTTAATTTTTCCTTTTAATTTCTTTATTGACCTTTTGAATGTTCAAGAGCATATTATTTAATTTGTACATTTTTGTTATTTTTCCAAAATTCCTCCTATTATGGATTTCTAGTTTCATTCCATTGTTGAAAAAGATACTTGATATAATTTCAGTCTCGAATTTGTTTTCAAGACTTGTTTTGTAGCCTAACTTGTTCTGCTAGGAAGTAGGAAGTGACTAGACTGAAACGAAATGGTTGAGAACTGTAGCATTTGGAAGGCGCCATTGAGCACTACCACTGAACTGCCCAGTCTTTGATAAAAATGAATGTTCTGCTCTTTTCCTACATAGAGTTACCACTACAGTGCTAGGAATGTTGGTTACAAAAGATTTATTCTATTTTCTTTTTTTTTTTTTTTTTTTTTTGTGAGACAGAGTTTCACTCATGTTACCCAGGCTGGAGTGCAATGGCGCGATCTCGGCTCACCGCAACCTCCGCCTCCTGGGTTCAGGCAATTCTCCTGCCTCAGCCTCCTGAGTAGCTGGGATTACAGGCACGCACCACCATGCCCAGCTAATTTTTTGTATTTTTGGTAGAGACAGGGTTTCACCATGTTGACCAGGATGATCTCGATCTCTTGACCTCATGATCCACCCGCCTCGGCCTCCCAAAGTGCTGGGATTACAGGCTTGAGCCACCGCGCCCGGCCTATTTATTCTATTTTCTTTTGAACTTTTAGTAAGAAACAGATTAATCATTGGAAGGATTCATAATTATCCTGGTATTTCACTTGAAATATGTTTAAAAGAAAGACTTTGCAAGGAGCATGGATGTTTTTGTCTAAATTCTGAAATGATCTCCTGTACACTGATTTTCTATTTTCTCTTGGCTATTATTTGAGATAATTGTTAGACCGAAATAGGTCCTTTGTAGTACATTTTTAACTTTGTAATACATTTTTAGCCTTGTGAGTATAATTGAAAGTCTACATATCCAGAGAAAATAACTGTAGAATCAGGATTTTAGCATGAGGATTTTAAAACTTTTTCCATTATTCCATTTTGCTGACTTAAAATTAGTATAGCTTTCTTGTTTTGTTTCTATTTTTACCTTCGAATGTTTCTTCATGTAAAAGTGTGTCGAGAGGATTGAGGGACAAGGTTTATGCTGCTGTGGAAATATTTTTCCTTCTTTTTGGTTAAATCTGCCTTCCCTTGTGGTATAACCTACGTCATTTTAGTGCTCATATTTAATATCTCAGAAAGATAATAAGTTCTTGAGTGTTTACTCCTTGCCAGATGTTGGGCTAAATACTTTGTATACATTTTCACGTTTAATCATCACAGCCACCTTGGGAAAAAGATATAATTATCATTCAGCCCTATTTGACAGATTAGGAGACAAAGGGTTAGAAACTATAACTAGTGAGTTGCAGAACTGTGAGTTGAACTTAGATTTGTCTCATTCAAAATCCCACAACCTTAATCTGTCTGTCATACCATCTCTGAGAGCCCTCCAAGAGGAAAACTTTCTCATTGTGGGCTACAAAAATACTTGCTCTGTTTTCGTCATTTTCTTATTTCTCCATTTTAAAAATCATTTTCTTACTTTTAATCTCATCTGATAGAAATGGTTATGGAAGATACAAAAAAAACATAGTTTTAAGTGTTTAGCTTTTATGAATCTGCCTCATTCTAAGTGGGCATCATTTGTACGTCTGTCATTGTTTTCGATTAATACCCTTTCAAGAAAGCGTTCCCCATTGGTTGGATCCTTCACTGTTTGCTTACATTGGGAGTTTTGATTCATTGTATTCTTAATATTTCTAATGACATAATATCTGAAGAAAGAATAAAATGAAGAATGTTTTAAAATATCATGCCTGCTAATGTAATGAAATTTTCTAACTATAAAACCTGACTATTAAGCTAAAAATATCTTCAGGGTCATAGCACTTTATGACTTTCTGACATGCTTTTACATTCAAATATCTGTGTGTAAATTTCATGACTTCTACATTTCTAGGCTAAAGAAAATTTCCAGCAAATACAAAATGAAAAAGAGACATATATACCTGATAATTTGTTCTGATGCATTTTTAGCCTTGATAATAAAATATTTTATATTGCTTTTCCTTCCATTCTTAACTATTTAGATTCTATTTAGTAGTAATGTGTATTTTTTGTGTGTATTCAAAGGGCAGCCATTCTACAAAAGTGGAAGCTGTGGTCAGAACTCTGATGAAAATACAGCTTAGAGATCCAGGGGCTAAAGCACTCGTTTTCTCAACGGTATAATCAACATTTTCATCCTCAATATTAACTTGAACTGATTTTCCCTCTGTAATCAGTTAACAGCTGAGAACTAATTTGTAATGTTTACCCTTAGATTTTTTTTTCCAAATCTATAAGATAGAATTATTTTTAGAGAAATTTGATAATGCTTCACAAGGCAATTTGTGTAACTACAGTCCATGATTTTGTATTACTTTCACTTAAAGATTTTCTTGGTTTAATATTTTTAAAATTGTAATTTCCGACTTTGAAAGTCTTATTTCACAAGAATTTGGGTTAAAAATAAAAAAAAAAAAGAAAAGAAAATCTGCTGAATATTAAGTGTTGAATAAAACCTCGAGTTTTCATTTTGGAAAACTAATTATTTTCCAGTATGTTCTTCATTATATATTTTCTACTGTTTGTTTATCTTAATTCCATTTCTAAAACCAGCATTTGATGCAAAAAACTAAAACAAAACTACTGTTTCAGATAGAGCTAAATAATATTGATGGTACTACATTTGAGGGTTTTGTATAAAAATCATTTTGATTTATTTCCTTTTCAGATACCCTGAGATAAAAGCTACCTAAAAATATTGGTTTTCTTGTTTTATGTGTTCTAGTGGCAAGACGTCTTAGATATTATTTCAAAAGCTCTCACTGACAACAACATGGAATTTGCACAGATCAGTCGTGTTAAGACATTTCAGGTACGTTAAGATTTTACTCCTGATTTTTGTAGTAGACACAGTTGCAAATTGAAACTACTGTTAACTAGCTTACTTACATTTATTGTCTTGTGTCATGTAAGCCACAAAACAGGGTCTGAGTTCTTGATTAATTATAAAGTGAATATTCAAAGTAGAGAAACTTCAGGTGTTTTCAGAGTATTTAATTATAAATATAATAAGACCATTGGTTTTTTAAAGATCTCCTAACTTGAGGTCCTTTTTTTTTGTCAGTACAGGAAAAGATTGCCTATGATATACCTTTTGAATACAGACGGGCCTCACACCCCAGGGATTAGTTTCTAAAGAAACTGTCAGGCAGAACTGCATATGGTCACAATTATCCTTACATCATACTCAGCACAGTGACAGGTGTATGACCTCAGGCACACACAGAGACCAAATGAAAATTTAGCAGATTCGTGTGTCTTATCTCACATTCACTCTAGCACATTATTTCTCTTTCACTTTCCTCTAACCTCATATAGTTTAATTTCCATGTATCACATGCATCTGTCTTGTGATTGCTCTAGATATTACAAAGAACAAGAGAGCTTATATGATACTTTTCTTCATAATTAAAATCAAGCAACAAGTTTACATTTTCTAAAGTTGGAAATTTTACATTGAATTTTCTTAGCTATTACCTTTCACAATAGTAATAGATAGCATTAGACATCTTTAAAGTGAGCTATAACGTACTGCTCTTATTTTAACTGATCCAGCTAAAATTAAAATGTACCTTTCTTTTTTAGGAGAACCTTTCAGCATTTAAACGTGATCCCCAAATCAATATTTTGCTGCTGCCCCTGCACACAGGTTCTAATGGATTAACTATCATTGAAGCAACTCATGTTCTCTTGGTGGAGCCCATATTGAACCCTGCCCATGAGCTTCAGGCCATAGGGAGGGTGCACCGAATTGGACAGACAAAGTAAGGACTAAAATTAGAATCAGTCACATTTGCTTCAGTTTTCTGAGAAACCAAGTCAGTAAACTCTTCATTTATGTTCATCATAGCCTACTTGTTTTTAATTATTTCCTTAGAGATTATATTTTTTAATTATTTATTTTATAACTTATAACTTTTTAATTATTTAATTAAAAAGCATGAGATTTCCAATTCTCCCTTCTCCAAGAAGCAAACCCCTAAATGTTCCCACATTTTTGTCTTCCTTCCCACAAAAACCTTATCACTTAATCAAAAAAAAAAAAAAAAAACCTTGTCAGAAATACTTAAGACAGCTGCAAAGTTGAAGGCATCCATCATGCCTTTGAGGAGAATGGAGTTTTGATTGTTTAAAGTAGCCCTGTGTTTAAAAGAAGATATACCTCGTACATGACTGAAAATAAATGGCTCCTTTTTAAATTCTTAACCTTAGGAAAAGACATCCCCTAAGTCAGCTCCAAGAGATCATTAGATTCAGTTTAGGGCCCAAAGCAAACCTAATAGCGAATATTACTATATGGTATGTATTACCTTTATGCATATATCAGAATAGACAGTTATCTTTGATAAGGCCTCCTAGTATTACCTGCTGGATGTTTCAAGTCTTCAATGTTTAAAAAAGAAAACACAAACACACACGCATACACCCATAATAAGCACTTATTAAATCAATATTTTTTGAGCATCTACTGTATGTCAGGCATTATTCCAAATACTGAAGATTCATATTGAATGATACATAATTTATTTCCCTAAGGAGGTCACTCTGTAGTACAGGAAACATAATTTAAAGTGTTGTGGTAGAGTGTGCAAAAGTATAATAAAAGTACTGTGTTAACAAAAGAAGATAATGATCACTCAGGCCCTACAGAGTCAGGAAAGACTTTATGATGTTGAGTCTTGAAGGAATAATTACTTCAAAGTAGGCTGGAAAGGAGTATTCACACAGCCAAAGAGAGTTATATATGCAAAAATACAATGGTGGGAAATGAAATGATATTTCTAGGGATTATAAGGAGTTTGGGATTGTTGTAGTATAAAGTATGAAAAAGGGATGATTGGCAGGAGATGAGGTCTTCTCTGTCATACCCAGAAATATAGACTGCTCTGTAAGTAGTAGCTGGGAGAGAAAATAAAGGGTTTAATTGTAAGCAGGGAAGATACATGTTTATTAAGCCTCTTAACAAACAAGGCAAGGTAACATAACTGCAGTAAATGCGGACTTGTTCTAACATACCACCACGTGTCATTTAAAATGCAGTCATGTCTTGATTTTTGTTGGTTTTCTTCTGTGTTTTTAAATACTGATTTCTGTCCTACCAATGCTCTTTTAAAGCATAGACTGGACTAGTCTCAGATTTAAAACCACAAGCCTAAAAGACCATTCAGTATTACCCAACAATCTTATTATGCTTCCCAAGTAAATCAATTTTGCTACTTTCTAAGGAGTCTGTCTTAAGTTTGTCTTCTTCCTCCCTGTGGCAGTCTGGCCTCATACAGGGGAAACATACACAGTCAGATTAGAACTACCTCATCTTTCCATCATCAGTTTGAACAGTCTGCCTGCATCAGTATTCACATACTATTTGGTAGATTTTTATGGAGCATCTTCTGTGTGCCACGCACTGTTTTAGGAACATGAGACGCCCTCATGGAGCTTAATTCTAGCTCTAATGGAGTTGGCAGACAGATGGTAAACAATAAACGTAATAAGTACAATATAGACTATGTTAGGAGCTGGAAAAGTACAGCAGGGTGAGGAATTAATAGTGTCTGGGCAGGAAGGCATGCAAGGCCTTATTGAGAAGGTAATATTTGAGCAAGGACTTAAAAGAAATGGGAAAATGGGAAAGTTAGTCTTGGAGGTATCTTGGGAAAGAATGTTCAAGTAAATGGTGCATTTGGTGCAAAGGCCCTAAGTCGGGAGTATGGTGTGTTAGAAGAATAGCAAGGAGCCACAGTTGCTAAAGCAAAGAGAAGCAGGAGTTGAAGTCAGAGGGCTCAGTGGGGAGAGGGATTACATTGGGCCCAGGAAGCCACTGTGAAGACGCTGCTTTTACCCTGTGTGAAATAGGGAGCCATTGGAAGGCTTTGAGCAGAAGGGTTTCATATCTCACTTAAGTTTTAAAAGAATCATTCTGAGTGCTATGATGGGGTGGGAATGCAGGGGAGCAAGGAGCAAGGGAAAGTAGAAGCAGGGAGAGTTTTGGAGGCTATTGCAGTCATCCTGGTGAGAGCTGAAGGTAACCTGACCATGGCGGTAGCAGCACACATGGTGAGGGGTGGTCAGGTTCTGGATATATTTTGAAAACAGAACTGATAGTACTTTTGGACAGACTGGACATGGGGTGTGAGAGGGTCAAGGATAACACCATGGATTTTGGCTTGGACGACTAAAAGGATGCAGTAAACTTCAGCTGAGCTGGAGAAGGAACATGCCCTACAGGGTAGAGCAGATTTGGTAAGAGAAGAGCAGACATCCAAATGGAGATTTCTATTGTGTAACTGAATTTACAAGTCCATTAAGTCATGAGACTGAATGAGATTACCTAAGGGTGGGTTTAGATAGAGAAGACGACCATGAACTCAACTCCAGGGTGCCAAAGTTAAACTGTTCTAGGAGAGTAGAAGGAACCAGCAAAGGTAACAGATAAAGATCAAGAAACGAGTTAGGAAGAAAACCAGAAGACAGGGGTGTCTAGGAGGCAAGCAAAGAATGTACCTAAGGAAGAGGATATGGTCAGCTGTTTCAAGTGCTGTGAAAAGTGTCAAGGACGACAAGAATTGAGAATTGATCATTGATTTAGCAACATCGAGATACAAAACCAGGTTAAGTGATAGAGGCGACAGCCTGACTTGAGTTTTAGAGAGAATGGGATTTTGTGTATTTCTTATTTAACAAATACTTATGTAACAAAGAGAGGGTAACTTGCCCATGGTCAGACAACTAATAAAAGTGGTAGCAGATTTCAGACACAGCCATTCTGCCTTCACTGTACAAGCTTTAACCACAGTGCACTGCTGCTTCTGTGTGGCTGGTGAGGCTAGTATTTTGAGGAGTTTTGCTGCAGAGAAAAGTAAGAGAATGAAATCAAGAGAAGTTTTTGTTTTTCCTTTCAAATGGGAGAATAAGAATGATTCATTAGAGACAAAACACTAGTGAAGGAATACAGCAGAGAGAATGTTTGACAATGCCCTTGAGTGAGCAAGAGGATATGGGATGGAACGCTCAAGTGGAGGGAGGGTTGGTGTTAGGTAGGAACGTGGATGTGTCATCCAGTGATAAGCAGGAAAGTACCTCATATGCCTTTCCTTTTATTACAGAAGTGTCCCTTTTCTTTCAAAAGCCACCCATTTCATTCGTCCTGGATCCCATTCCTTCTCATATTTTCAAAGACGTGTATATTTCCCTTGTACAGGTTGAGTATCCATTAACTGAAATGCTTCAAGCGTTTTGCCTTTGGATTTTTTGAGATTCTAGAATATTTGCATATACACAGTGAGATATCTTAGGAATGAAACCCCAGTCTAAACATGAAATTTGTTTCATATGCAACTTCCACACACAGCCTGAAGGTGATTTTATGTAATATTTTAAATAACTGTGCACAAAACCAAGTTTTTACTGTGTTTTGACTGTGACTTTTTACATGAAGTCAGATGTTGAATTCTCCACTTGTCACGTTGGCATTCAAAAACTTTTTGATTTTGAAGCATTTTAGATTTGGGGGTTTTGGGATTAGGGATACTCATCCTGTCATATATTACCCTGTAAATATGTCTTAATATTATTCATCTTAAAAAAAAGAAAAAAAAAAACGCTCTCTTACATCCTACCTCCATCTCTACTTTTTCATCCCCTATTCTCTCTCAATCTATCTGGTTGATTTTTCTTTATCACTGAAGTGAGGCTTATAAGGTTTTTAGTTGACCTACTTCTTGGCAGTGGTCTGAGGGTTGTCCAAACCCCTTAGATGAATTTTTTTTTCCAGTCTTAGGGATTTAGGTAGCTTTTATAGGTTGATGACTCTAAGGTATATACCCCTAGTCCAGACATGCCCATATCGCTCCCATCCCAGGTGCATATATCCATATCTGTCTCTGCACACATATCTCTCGACTCACCTTGGATACATGTTTAATAGGTATCAGGTTTCACATGGACAAAACAAAATTGTGTTGCTTCTGTACTCTCACCCCCACCCTAAGCTTTTCCCATCTTATAATGTGGCATTGTCATCTGTTCCTGCCCAGATCAGAAATCTAGGACTCTTCTATATTTCTCTTTTCACATCTCATATTCCAAAAATCTTTTAAGTTTTGTCAACTCTGCCTCCAAAAGGTATTCCAAATCTACTTGACTACTGTCTCCACTGATGCAACCATAGTACACTCACTCTTACCCAGATGACTACAGAACTTCTTAACTGGCTTCTCTGGCGCTTTTGTTGCTGAACAAGAAGTGCATCCTCCACATAGTTGCCAAAGGCACATCATGCATACAGACCCACCAAGGGCTTCCCATTATAACCATGATAAAATTCAAATACTTGGTCACATCCTGCAAGGCCCTATGTGACCTGGACCCTGCACACCTCTCTACCCTTATTTTCACCTCTCTTCTCCCTCGTTTACAGGATGCTTCTGCCATGCTAGCCTTCTTTTGGCCTCTTGAACATGTTAGGCTTGTCCCACACATGTTGCCTTCCCAGGGATTGTGCATGTATATGCAGTTCTTCCCTTTGGATGTTCTTCTTACTCCTCCTTTGTCTACTGGCCTTGTTCCCATCACTGTTGTTTCAGTTCACATGTCAGTCTCCTCTTGGCATTATATTTACCTGAAACTGCTTTACTCTTTTCTGTGTTTATTGTCTGTCCTCATTAGAATGTCAGCTCATGGAGATTAAATAGTTCATCTTATTTGATGCTAACCCCTCCCAGCAACTGCCACAAGTGGGCACCAACTGACTGATGAATATAGCATATAAAATGTGAAGTCGGTTTGTACGAATTTGTTTACTAGGTTTTTAAGATTAAAATTCTTTGTGCCTTTTAGACCTACCATTGTACACAGATTCTTAATTAAAGCAACAATAGAAGAAAGAATGCAGGCAATGCTGAAAACTGCTGAGAGGAGGTAGGTAATAATTTACAACAAGCAGAAGGGGGAAGGTTTTCCTGGTTAAAGTTTGTACCTTTGGAACTTCTTCACTTAGATGATGACAAAAAATATAACACAAATACTTTTTAAAAGCAAGATCTGACGTTTTGTCTTTTCGGTGTTTCCCAGTTGGTGTTCCAGACATTCTATATTTGAATTAATTTGTTAATTGTAACATGTAAACATAAACTATCCTACATTTCTTTGCCACATTGGGTCACTTTTTAAATGAAATATATCTTTATGCCTGACATAAGCCTTAGTCTGATATGTGTAAACTAAACTTGTATTGCTGCTTTCTACATCACATTTGTTAGTCATGTGTTGATAGAAATATCTGGACTTTAAAATTTGGTAGGCCACACGTGGTGGCTCACGCCTGTAACCCCAGCACTTTGGGCCTCCAAGGCGGGTGGATAACCTCAGGTTGGGAGTTTGAGACCAGCCTGGCCAACATGGCGAAACCCCCGTCTCTACTAAAAACATGAAAATTAGCCAGTCTTGGTGGCATGTGCCCAAAGTCCCAGCTTCTCGGGAGGCTGAGGCAGGAGAATGCTTGAACCCAGGGGGAAGCGGGCAGAGGTTGCAGTGAGCCAAGATCATGCCACTGCACTCCAGCCTG